CCTGAAGCAGAAATGGCAGAAAGCGATGACTATTCTCGCCACGCTAAAGCACACGCAGACGCACGCAGTGCTCTGGTGCAAGGCTGCGAAGTCAGAGCATCCGCTTGTGTTTGCACCGTCTCTGGCCTGCAGGCTCGCTTCGCTAGATCCCTCCTCCTCGCTCCGGAGGTACCTGTTACCACCGCTGGATGGGCACGCTTGGAAAGACCTCCAAGAACCAGTTAAGCAAAGAAAGAAGGAAGGAAGGAAGGAAGGAAGGAAGGAAGGAAGGAAGGAAGGAAGGAAGGAAGGAAGGAAGGAAGGAAGGAAGGAAGGAAGGAAGGAAGGAAGGAAGGAAGGAAGGAAGGAAGGAAGGAAGGAAAGAAGAAAGATAGCACCCAAGCTGGTGAAAAATGAAACAGTGTGAGACTCTGGGAGAAGTCCTCTGCCTCACCCCCCTGGGAAGACTTGAGGTGAACGCTCCTGCCCTGGCTTGTGCCCGAAAGCGCCCCCGAATCCCCGTCACCGTGGGCGCAGTGATCTCTGTGGGTTGTAGCTTGCTTCCTCTCCTCTCGTGAGAACAGCAATCAGATAGGAGAAAAACTATCGAGCGATGTAGAAATGGCCTCCTAAAAGGACCGGCGGAGTGACGTGCTTCCTAGAGATGCTGGCAGAGAGCGGGAGCACCCGCAAATCCCCTGCAAGCACCGCGAAGGCGGCCCGGCGCTCTGTCCCTGCGGGTCATCTTCCCGCCGCCTCCCGCGAGACGGCCAGGAGCTTTCATACAGGCTGTAAGTACTGGCTGCCGTTAAGAAATCTCGCACTTAAATCTGAAAACTTTCCACTATCACTCCCCTGCACCTACATCACTCAAAACAAGGCCTTCACCGCCAGCGCGCCCAAGTCTGGAACCGGCCCGGGACGCGGCACCAGTTTCGGGCCACTCGGGCCCCTTGGAAGGGCTTGGCTGCCACCTCGTGGTCAAAAGGAGCATTACATCTATGGCAGGGTCCACACATTCATATCCGGTGCCCTCTAATGGGGGGGGGGAGGGGGGGGATATTTTAGAGAGAAACACAGAACTGAGGTGGGGGAGGGGCAGGAGGCGGAGAGATTGGGGAAGTGGTTGAAAGAGAGGGGCCTTAAGGGCCTTAGGAGGGGGGTGGGTACTGGTGACGTGTGTGGTGGTGGAATTATGCACACATGAAACCCTCATTAACAGTGTTGGAGATCGGGGCTGGAGCAATAGCACAGCGGGTAGGGCGTTTGCCTTGCATGCGGCGACCGGGGTTCGATTCCCAGCGTCCCATATGGTCCCCTGAGCAACGCCAGGCACAATTCCTGAGCGCAGAGCCAGTAGTAACCCGTGAGCACCGCCAGGTGTGACCCAAAACGCAAAAAAAAAAAAAAAAAAAAAAAAATACAAACCAGTGTTGGAGATCACAGTACTTCAATCAATAAGAATGTTTTTAAAAATAAGGAAAGACGCTTAAGACATCGTCTGACGTGCATCAATAAACTTTAAAAAAAAGAACACAGTTCTAAGGAATTTGTCAATAGCCACAGTTTGTAATCGTTTACGGCAACATATTTTTCCAAGATTGATTTGGACTTGGTCCCAATTTAGAAAATACCAAATCCTAAACCATAATGCCCAACCCCCATAAAGGAGGGGGGGAGAGAGAGAGAGAGAGAGAGAGAGAGAGAGAGAGAGAGAGAGAGAGAGAGAGAGAGAGAGAGGTACTATCCGCCATAGAGACAGGTGGGGGAAACAAACTTGGGACATTGGTGGTAAGAGATGTGCCCTGGTGAAGGGCGGGTGATGGCATATTATATGACTGAAACCCAATCATGAACAATTGTATAACTTCTCATCTCACTGTGATTCAATAAGGAAAAAAGAAAATAGCAAATATCTCCCAAATTCTCTCTCCATTCTTTCAAAGAAAACAATTTTCTCCATTTTCTTGTTTCCGCAAAGTTCTCTCTTTCCCCTTCCCTTCCTCCTTCCACCCCTGTCTCTCCTTCCTTCTCTCCATTTTTCCGTCTTCTGTATTTCATGTGTTCAAGTCCCTGTCTAAGTTCCCTCCCAAAGCTGTGTGTCTTTAGACATGTTCATTGTTTAAACATCTGGAGGAACACTTCTTAAAGACTGGAGCCAGGGATGGGGTGGAGGAGACAAATAATAAAATGGGGCAGAAAGCACAAATGATTCAGAGCTAAACTGTTCCAGAACTTCCCTGATGTCCCCTAACAGGTGGGGATGCTGGCAAGTTACATCCGAGTCAGCTCCCCTCAAAGAACTGTCCTAGATTCGTTTATTTCATGAGTTTCAGTCTTGCTTTTATTTTCTCCATAGCATGCATCAACATCAGGTACACAGTATTTTCATTGAAAGAGCTCCTTCAGGAAAATGCAAACCCCAGGAGGGCAAGAACTGTGTTCTGCTCTTTCACTGCTATATACTCAGAATCTATTATAACTCATCTAGAGTAGTTGCCCAATAAATACTGAGGGACCAAGAGTGTGGAATGAAGGGCTGGAGTGATAGTTCAGTAGGTAAGGTGCTTGCTTTGTATGCAGCTGGTTTGGGTTCGATCACTGGCATCCCATTTGGTCCCTGGAGCCTGCCAGGAGTGATTCCTGAGTGCAAAGCAGGAGTAGTCCAGAGCACTGTCAGGTATGGCCATCACCACCAACCCACCCCACCAACACACACACACACACACACACACACACACACACACACACACACACATGCACACACACAGAAGTGTGGAATCCAAAGACCAGAGATCTTCAGGGAGGTCCCTTAAGCAGCGTCTGATATTTTCACACAGAAAAACAGGAGCCATCATTCTTATGCCACTTTCGTAAGCCTTATGCAATCTAACATTTGTGAAAACATCATCTAGTAGACCGCTGAATAAGTACAAAGAAAACTTCCTGCATGGACTGAGCTCTTATCAGTGATCTATTGAGTTTTTATAATTCAGAGAAACCATATTGCCCAAAGACACAGAAAATCTTGAAAGTGCTCCTAAAAGTCAGAAAAAGACATTTATTCCAAAGTCATATCCCAAATATACAAACAATGACATGCATCTTTTCTAAAGACTTAACCAATAAAAATAGTCCTTACATTTAATTTTTACAACAGTTTGAAGATCTTATGTTGTTTCCATGAGAAAGTCTGAAAAAAATCTTAATTCCAAAAAGCGTCCAATGTACTTCCGTGTTTATATAAAACGTATTTCTCTGAAAGCAAAATATTCACATATAACAGTTTTATTATGAAATTGTTCTCAGTTCCTGAAATCCTCACTCAGGTATAGAATCACATTTCCATATGCTTCCTAAATGAGGTATTAAGAGAGAGAAAGAAACGCCAGATATTTTCAAACACACATCTCTGACTGAAAGTGCAAATGGCTTTGACAACTACTTTTATGTGAAATATTTTCCCAGTGGGTACTCAGTTTCTGCCCAAGAAACTACAGTAATACGTCATTGAAAAATTCATCTGTCACCATTGTTTTATGCGATTTTTCAGATCCAAATCGAAGCTAGTGTTGCACTGATTCACTGTTTTCTTGAAGATGCTTTAATAAATATTCTAACCTCTGGAAGATTTCTTAATACCTACAAGTGGGATCAGTTAACTCATTCTGTAGAGGTCAGGTAAACAATATTTTAAGTTTCTCAGGCCTTTTTTCTATTGCATAGACTTTTGTACAACTCCAAAATGTGAAGAAGAGAAAATAGGTCCTAGGTTCCATTGTAATTTGCTAAGTCTCTTATTTTATTATTAGTAGTATTATCATTATTATGGGCTGGAGTGATAGCACAGCGGGTAGGGCATTTGCCTTGAATGCAGCCAACCCGAGTTCAATTCCTCCGCCTTCGATTCCTTCGCCCCTCCTGGAGAGCCCGGAAAGCTACTGAGAGTATCTCGCCTGCACAGCAAAGCCTGGCAAGCTCCCTGTGATGTATTCGATATGCCAAACACAGTAACAACAAGTCTCACAATGTTATTGGGCCCGCTCGAGCAAATCAATGAACACCAGGAGGACAATGACAATAACAATGACAATGATCATTACTATTATTGATTTTTTGACCACACCTGGCAGTGCTCAGGGCTTACTCCTGGCTCTGTGCTCAGGAATCACTCCTGGTGGGACTCGGGGAACCACATGAGATGCCAGGGATTGAACTCTGGTCGGCTGGTGCAAAACAAGCACCCAACCCACCGTACTATCTCTCCAGCCACAAAGCAGAGTCTCCACTTTAAAAATAAACGAACTATCGATCTTTCAGTTAGCTGACTTAAGTCTTAATAAAACGTGAACTTCGCAATGTGTCATCAAGTCACCTCATGCTTTTTGCTGGCTACATTGAAAGTTCGTGAACAGTAAGAAAAGTATCCCAATCAAGGATACATTTTGGATATTCTTTTTAATCAAGGGCATTTTCTTATGCCTTTACTCTTTTTATAGGATAAAGCTCTGTTTATGTAGCTAATCTGAAGTCTGAACACTCCAAGGCTAGAACACTTCTTCGCTAAAAGAGGTAGATGCATGCACAAAAGTACATGCAGTTACAAATAAATGCACAATGGCAACATTATGACATACACATTCAATACAAATGTTCTCCATCATTACAAAGGAAATGATACAGACCAACCAGGAGGTACAAACATTGATCCTGAGACTCTAGTCTGTTTTCATCAGATGTAGACCTTACATCCTGAGAAAACATGTGAAATACATAAATATAAATTCATGCAACTGCATGGTTTGTTCAGGTTCTTGATACATATTACAAAGATTGAATAAAAAGTATTATGGTAGAAAAGTCAGTGGGAGCTACTTTTGAATCTGATAAAATAAAACAAGGTCATTTAACAACACTGTTTCATCTATAACGTGATCCTACAGTTTGGAATCATCTTGATGAGAGTCACTGTGTGTGTGTGTGTGTGTGTGTGTGTGTGTGTGTGTGTGTGTGTGCTTGTTTGTCTTTCCTGTATGAAGAGGTTTTGACAAACATTACAAGCTAATTGTGTGTTTGCTCAAATATATCGTAAACACATTGGGAAGCCTCTGGAATTACAATCCCTAGTACCCTAAAAAACACTTACAAATCCTAACACTAAGAAAGTTGAAAACTTTTGCATCCCTAAGAAACCCTGTTACTCCAGCGAACCCATGCCCTATTTTCAACTATAAAAGATAAGAGTTTTCAGTGCAAAATTAGTAGAAATAGCAATGACATGAAAACTGTTAAAGATTATGCAATACAAGTAATATCCCGAAGGCATTTTTGGATACACAAAAGGTCATTAGGGGACTAAGAAAAAGTAGGCTGCTTTGCTGATTTAACTGTGGGTCTGGGTAGTGAAACCTTTAAACGCTCCCGTATTTACAGCTCATCATGTTTTTTCTTAAATGGCCATTTTGGATGTTGTGACACATATTCTGCAGCCTGAAGGACCAGGTACATAAATTCTTCTACATCGAAAGAGTAGTTGGTAAACTTTGGGTGCTCCCCCAGAGTCGGGTGGTGGCCCTGCAGAAACAAATCAAATTCCAAATCGATAAGTCATCGAGGACATGATTTTCAGTACAGGAAGACGATTATTTTCTTTGGTCAGAGCAACTATTTAATGTATGTCTTATGTCAGAAGTCAGCAAATTTTTCCACTAAAAGGCTGTACTTGATTTATTTCCAGCTCTGTGGACCGCACAGTTTCTGCCAGTAACTCAACTCTGGGACTGAGGTTCACAAGCCGCCACAAACACCACAGAAACAGATGGGCAAGACAGGATCTTCAATAAAACTTTATATATAAAAACAGATGGTGGGCCCATTTGTTTACTTTTCCAATTCTTCTTACTGAACTGCTTTTCCTGGGGCCAAATTTCACAACTTCCAGATCCTTGCAGCTGACAAATATGAAATACTACGACTCCTTCAAGACAATAACACTTCATCTTTGAAATTCAATGAGTTCTGTTTCTAACAATTTCATATTTTAATCCAGCTGGAAAGCAAGGCACATTTTGCCATGGAGCCTTACCTTGTCTTGAGGAAAGACTTTGTTCTGCCTTCGCCAGGTGATGTAGTGGACGCCTCTCAACCTGGCCAGGTCCAAGTAACAGCGCTCGTCTTCACAGTTGTACCTAAGGATCCAAGAACACCAACCTGGGAACACTGTTGCGCGCTTTCTAGAGTGGGGAAATTACCTCCTATACATTTTCTTGAAAATTGTTTGAAGCAGTTGAATGGATTATGAGGATGTGATATATATATGTGTATATATATATATATATATATGTATATACACACACACACACAACTATAGTCTACTGTGTGTTGGTATCTACTCTGCAGCTGCAAGGAACGATGAAATCGTGCAATTTTCCGCAACATGGTTGGAACTGGAAGATATTATGTTGAGTGAAGTAAGTCGGAAGAAGAAAGACAAACAGGATAATTTATAGATAAACTCTTATCTATGGAATATAGAATATAGGATGAGGAAACATATTAAAGGGGGTTGATTGGATCATCCTTGACCCCAGAGTTTCGAGAGCAGGCAGAGAAGAAAAGAAATTAAAGGGGCAGAAAGAGAACGGGAAGTAATGTGTGAGCTGGCATCAGTGCTTATTTATACCGTGACATGAATGAGGGGAATAGCCATACATGCAAAACACAGACTCAACAGAACTGAAAACATGAGACAAGCGACAGCCACTGAAACTTTGTAATGTTGTCAAGTTGACGGGTGCGGGTAGAATGGGAGTTGGGATGGGGAAGGAATCTGGGAACACTGGTAGAGGGAGGTTGACAGTGGTGGAGGGACTGGTGTTGAATTACTGCATGCCAATAACACAACCACCAATAACTCTATATTGAATCTTTTTTTTTTTTTGCTTTTTGGGTCACACCCGGCGATGCACAGGGGTTACTCCTGGCTCATGCACTCAGGAATTACTTCTGGCGGTGCTCGGGGGACCATATGGGATGCTGGGAATCGAACCCGGGTCGGCCACATGCAAGGCAAGTGCCCTACCTGCTGTGCTATCGCTCCAGCCCTCTGTATTGAATTTCAAAGATGAATTGTTATTGTCTTGAAAGAATTGTAGTATTTCATATTTGCAAATTATAAAAAAAATCATGGCTCTTTAATTAAAAAATGTTTTTAAAAAGAAAATGGTTTGATATCCAGTGAACAAGACAGAGAGATTATTTTTAAAATATTACATCATCTTAACTTTTTTATTATTCCAGTTCTGCACCCCCTGCCTATCACTGCTGTTACTGGTGTCGTTGTGAGGACAGGGATACACACACCCCTCACTGTGGTGATTGTACTGTTAGCTGTGGTGCTCTCTGGGGTCACAAATCAGATCACAGAGTTCTCACACTCAGTCACGGTACCTCTGAAGCTACATTCTGCAACCTGCAAAGCTTGTGCACGTGCACTCTGGGGGTTGTACTGTTAGTTGAGGCACGTGGATCATGGTTGTGGTTCTTGCTGATGATTGTTGTGCTGCTCATGGATGTGCTCACCGGGAGCTGCACCTCTTTTTTAAGGCGCTCACACAAACATGACTGCAGTGTGACTGGAAGTAAACTTGAAGCACTGGGGATGGTCCAGAGCAAAACTGCCAGGATCACACTACACACATGTGAGACACCAGGGATTTGAACTTGTGACCACACACTAGCAAGGCAGGTGCGCTAAGCCTGTGAGTTATTTCTCATGTTTACTTTAACTCTTTTTTCTGCAATGCACAGGGGTTACTTCTGGCTCATGCACTCGGAATTACTCCTGGCAGTGTTCGGAGGACCATATGGGATGCTGGGAATCGAACCCGGGTCAGCCTCGTGCAAGGAAAATGCCCTACCCGCTGTGCTATCACTCCAGTCCTGTACTTTAACTCTTAAAATACAGAGTAGAAGATATAACAGGAAGATAGTGAAGACATCAAGGTCCATGCCCCACCTGCCCCTGGCCAATCCCAGCATGACACAGTCCCCCTGAGCACCACTGGGTGTATCTCTGGAGGCGCTGAGCACTGGGAGCATTTCCTGGTAGACACTAGCACCCCAGGGGCTGAGCAGCACCACATTCTCAGACCCTGCACTGAACTGCAGGCCTGGATGACTGAATGTCACTAAACAGCACTGTTGGGCAGGCCCATAAATAAATTAATGAAACAGAACAGGATCAAAGAATGAAAGGAACTCAACTTTTTTAAATGGGCCAACTGCCATGAACTAGATCTCCCTCATCCTCTGATCTTGGTAGACACAAAGTGGGTGGGTGAGGGGAACGCATCCAAGTCAGGGGGCTATTGCCAAAGAAGCTCCCCCTTCTCCCATGCACCTGTTACCCCCAAGGGCAGAGCTTTCTCACTTAAATTTCTTTCTCTTCCTTCTTCTTCCCTTTCCTCCCACTCTCCAACCTAACACCAGTAGAAATGAAGAAACGGAGATAGAAGCCACAGTTATGAATTTCTCTAATGTCACTTTTGGGGGGTGGGATGGCACCGCCAGCAGTGACTGGGCTCAACCCGGCTCGTTCCTGGTACGTAACATCTGGGTACACGTAACATCTGGTATGTAACATCTGGTTCCTGGTACGTAACATCTGGGATTGAACCCAGGTTAGCTGCATGCAAAGCAAACACCTCACCTACTCTATGACCTGTCCAGCAAGATACCTTTCTTTGAAGGTTTTTCACAGGATACTGGAACTTCATGAAATCTTTTTCCTAATATCTTAGTGTGGGGATTGAACTAGCAAGTCGCAGACAGAGAGCTCATGTTCTCCCACTGTCTCTGGCTTGTCAACTTCTTTCTAGTCTTCCACTTAAATATTAAGTGGTTTTGGTGTTTTAACAATATTGATTGTTTTTCAGGACCTACAGCTCATTCCTTTTAATCATTTAATAATACTTCATAGCATAATGCGATCACTCTCTTTTAACATATTAATTGGATATTACATCATTTTTAAGATGAAGCCATAAAATCAAGATGCTTACACATAAGGGGGAGGTGATCACACAACCATAGCTGTTAGCTATATGTCAAAAACCAAGGGTGGGTCCTGGTGTCCAAGGTAAAATTGTTATTAAGGGAGAGAGAGTGTGTGTGTGTGTGTCCATAAGCAGCCACAAAGTTTGAGGAATACCTGGAAAATTCATTTCTGCCTTGGAGGCCTCAGTTTCCCCGACAATCCACTCAGTGGAAAGAGGCTGACTTGTGCTTAGAAGCTGTGTTCTCATGATTCTTACAGGTTCTCAAACCCTTTTTTAAAATTTGGTGGCAGAGGGGCCAGAGAGATAGGACAGCAGATCAAACTCTTGCCTTGCATACAACCAACCCGGGTTCGATCCCAGCATCCCATATGGTCCCCCTGGGCCCACCAGAAGTGATTTCTGAGTGTAGGGCCAGGAGTTAAAAACAACAAAAAAAATTTTTAGGGGGCTGGAGCGATAGCACAGCAGGTAGGGCATTTGCCTTGCACGCAGCCAACATGGCCAACCCGGGTTCAATTCCCAGCATCCCATTTGGTCCCCCGAGCACTGCCAGGAGTAATTCCTGAGTGCATGAGCCAGGAGTAACCCCTGAGCATCGCTGGGTGTTACCCCCCAAAAAAAGCAAAATCAACAAAATTTTTTTTAATAAAATAAAATTTGGTGGCAGAGGGATAGGGAGATAGTATTGGGATTAATATGCCTGCAGCCAAGCTGGTTTGATCCCTGCCACTGCAATGGCTCCCCGGCATGGCAGTAGTGACCCCAGAGCACGGACACAGAAAGAGCCCCTGAGCATCACCAGGTACAGCCCAAGTTCCTCCCACAAAAAATAAATTAAGGGGCTGGAGTGATAGCACAGTGGGTAGGGCATTTGCCTTGCACATGGCTAACCCGGGTTCGATTCCCAGCATACCATATGGTCCCCCGGGCATCACCAGGAGTAATTTCTGAGTGCAGAGCCAGGAGTAACCCCTGTGCATTGCCGGGTGTGACCCAAAAAGCAAATAAATAAATAAATAAATAAATAAATGGAAAATAAACTAAAATCAATCCATCAATACAGTTCTGCGGTAGAAAAAAATTTACCTCCTTGATGATTTTTAAGTGACGAGCTTAACTGTGTTAAGTATATTCTCAGTGTGGTACAGTCAATAGCCAGAATTTTTTAAAAATTCTGAAAAAATCAAATTTGCAAAACTGAAACCCTGCACCTGTAAGCTCTAAGATGGAGCTTCCCCTTCTCCCAGCGGCTAGTGGCAGAACCACCGGCCATTCTACTTCCTGCTGCTAGGCATTTGCCTTCCCTTGGGGTCCCATAGAAATGGGAAGATTCACACAGCCTGAGCGATAGTACAGCAGGTAGGTAGGAAAAGAAACTGAGATACAGAGTTATGAATTTCTCTAATTAATTGTTTTTCAGGACCTACTGGCCAGGATTTGATTCTCAGCACTCCCTGTGGTCCCCCGAACTGTGCCAGGAGTGATCCCTGAGCTCAGAGGCAGGAGTAAGCCCTGAGCACCCCTGGGTGTGGCCCAAAAGGTAAGAAGTGGGATAACATAACATTTGTCTTTTTTGCAGTTAACTTATTTCACTTCCCACCAGGTTCCACCCATCCTGCAGCACGTGACAAGATTTCCTTTTTCGAGATGGAATAATGTTCTGCGGGATGTCCAAGGAAGGCCAGCTTTGATCTGTTCACAGGTCAATGAACATTGGAATTGCCTCCGGCTCCTTGCTGTTGTACAGAGCGCTGCTCTGAGCACGGGTAGGGGTGGGGGTGAGGGGGGCAACTTTGAAACCAATAATTACACCGACTGCAGGGAGAGGCTCACAGTTTGAGCAGCAGACAGGCACAGACTCACAGTGAGGCGAGTCACAGCGTTAGCTCCCACACTGCAGGGATGAGGGCAGGAGCAAGCAGCTGGCCTGCTAAGCATGGTGGCAGCAGGCTGCCGGTTTTTAGCTTTAGGTCGTGTTTTCTTTCTCGATGCCTAGATGATGTCACTTCTCTATCACAATGAATTATTAAGCCTTGAGATGCTCTGAATGAAAGTCTCAGCACGCATAACAAGCGGCTGCAACATAAAAACTATCCTCAAACACTTACAGTTCAAACACAGCGGCCCAGTCGGGGAGGAAAAGTAGGTGGGTAAGGCCTGCTCCATGCATCCCAATAAATACGTCCGTGTTATGAGTGATCCGGAGCTGATCCAAAAAGCCGAGTTCCCTGCGAACACAAGAACAGCAAACAACAAATGGGGAAATAAGACAAAGGGTTCCACGGAACTATCTCAGGCTCCATGGTAACAATATTTCTATTGATTTCTTTCTCAACTTAAATCACATTTCACCGTAAGTTTTTGCCAGATTTCAAGTCTACTCCAGAAAAAATTAATGATTTTAATCATTTCATTACTTTACTTTTTTTGCTAGAATATCTCCCCTTTTGAAAAAAATTAGTTTCTTTAAGAAGGACATGTAAGGACTGGAGTAATAGCACAGCAGGTAGGGTGTTCGCCTTGCACATGGCTAACTCAAGTTTGTTCTCTGGCATCCCATAGGGTCCCCTAAGCACTACCAGGAGTAATTCTTGAGTACAGAACCAGAAATAGCCCCTGAGCACTGCAGGGTATGGCCCCCAAACAAAACCCCCCAAAAAGGAAACATAGCTGAATGGGAAACCCCTCATAGATGACAAATGTGAAAATAGGATACAATAAAATTAACAGGGTATTACTGAAGCATAGCAATACAGCATTGCAAGGTTAAGTCCTAAGTCTGTTACCTCATTATAAACAAGTGAAACAGGCAACTGTTACAGCACATCACAGGATGCTAAATTAGGAATAAAGTGGAAACTTTTTCCTTACCACAACAAGAGCACTTTTTTAACAAATGTCTCTCTCTGTGATTTGAGGCATCAATGCTTATCTTAACACACCTGCAGGTATCTCAGGTTGCAGCAGGGCACTTTCCTACCTTTGCAACAGACTAATCCACAATTTTATACACATTTAGGATTATATAAACTTGTCCCCTCAGTTCAAGATGCTGAAAGTTTGCAAAACTAGAAGTGAAATCAGTACCCAAAAGATTCAGTGAAATGAGCTGAGAAGGAACACCAGAAGTAAAGAGGATACTCCGATAAACAGATCTCCCACATTAGGTCTCCCAGTTCCCAAAGGGAAGAAAAATAAATGGCCAAGAGTGAGTTATTACTTACTTATATTTGTAATCCACAATCTGGACTTCAAATATAGATACTGTTTTCAGTGCATTTACAAGCTAGGGAAGAAAAAATAAACACTGAGAAATTCTTTTTCCTTCCAACTTTTCTATCTCACTTTCCTTTGAGTCTTGAAATAATTTCTTTTTCTTTGTTAATTTTTTATTTATTTTGGGGTTTTTTTTGGCTATCCTCAGCAGTGCCCAGGAATTATTCCTGGCTCTGTGCACAGGAGTCACTCCTGGAGGTGCTCAGGGGGCCAAATGTGGTGCCAGGGAACAAATCTCCTTGGCCGTATGCAAGTCCAGTGCCCTGCCAACTGCACCACCTGCTGCTGTCTCTGAGCCCTAAAATTTCTTACTTCTCAGGTAGTAAGAATCTTGCAGGATTATTGTTTAGTTTTGGCTGAGTGAGAATATGGGTCATTGAGATGCTCAGAGTCCAAAAAGAGCTCTCATTTTGGCTCTTCACTAGTTACTTCTTCAGCTGTAACAAATTTTGCTGGGCAATAGCTATGAACTAGACACTGCAGTGAACGTTTTCCTCTTAACCACTCTCTCATTCCAGACACACCACTTGTGCCACGGGCCTCATCTTCTAAAATGCTTTACAAAAATTATTGAGAGCCAAAGAAATAGAAGAGGAAGCACAGCACTAATTAGCCTAGCACACAGCATGATTTGGTTCAATCCCAGCACTGCCAGGAGTGATCCCTGAACACAGAGTTGGAGTAAGCCCTGAGCACTGGTGAGTGCGGCCCAACATTTTCTCTGCAAATAGGGGTGACACGACTCTTTCTTTTTAGCAGTCAGAATGTAACAAAGCAAAATAACCTACCACCAGAAACAAATTCATGGGTCCCTATGTCCCTCTCAATCAGCCCGACACCCAAGATCACTGGCATTCATCAATGTTGCCCTTGAATCCCGCCGTCCGTGCAGTGAGAAAGGCCACACCATTCTGCAGCAGCATCCCTGACGGTGCATTCCAATGGGGCGGGCATTCCCATCCTCACAGGAATCATACCGAGAGGCGCATATGCTGCCCGAGACCATGTGCTGCCTGTGTCCATGTGTGGCTGCCAAGCACAGGTGGTGCCTGAGCAAATGTTACCCACATCTCCCTTCTTGTGATGTGAACTTTCATATCTAATGTTGGAATGTTTACTGGGCTCTCTCTTCAGCCTGAGGAAACTCTCTCTCTGTCTCTCTCTGTCTCTCTCTCTGTCTCTGTCTCTCTCTCTGTCTCTGTCTCTCTCTCTCTCTCTCTCACACACACACACACACACACACACACACACACACACCCTCCTCCCTACCCTTTCCCCAAAACTTCCAAAGAAAACTCATTTTTACTGCAAAAAAAGAAAAAAAAATCATTCCAGGAAAGTGTTACTATTAAGTTATCGGGTTTTTTTTTTTGAAGGATACAATGAAAAATTAGACAAATTTAAAAAACTTTCTCAAGATCACCCTGCTGATGAAAGTAGACTATAGACCAAACATGACTGCCAGTCAATGCCTCTCTTGCAAACCACAGGACCCAAAAGGAGAGAGAGAGAGAGAACAAAAGGGAATGCCCTGCCACAGAGGCAGGATGGGATGTGGTATGGAGGGATGGGGGGGGGGGGCGGGAGAGGGATGCTGGTACCCGTGGTGGTGGAGGATGGGCACTGGTGGAGGGATGGGTACTTGATCATTGTATAACTGAAACCCAAGCACAAAAATTTGTAAGTCTATAACTGTATCTCATGGTGCTTCACTAATAAAAAAAATAAATTTAAAAAATTAAAAAATAAAAAAAAAGGATCACCTTGCTGGCAACAAGAAGATTCAAAGTTAAATTTAAGTCATCCTACCCCAAACTTTGTGTTTGCAGTTTGCAGCCTATACAGTTTACTGTTCATAAAAAATGCTCCCAAAATCCAATCCAATCCCTCATCTCTGTCTCTGTCTCTGTCTCTGTCTCTCTCTCTCTCTCTCTCTCTCTCTCTCTCTCTCTCTCTCACACACACACACACACACACACACACACACACACACACACCATAAAATGAAAGTCTCTTGCTGAAGTTAGTTTCTCTATATACAATGTAATCTCGTGTAAATATATCAAACCCCTGAAGGAGTGAGGGCAAATGATGAGAAACTCTTTTTCTGAGAGGGATAAACCAGCTGCCACTGTCTCTGGTCTTGTAGCAAGCAGGCCCCCGCCTGCAGCAAGTGTTTCCTCACTAGTCCCCACACGAGGCTGTTCCCTTCTAACATGTTTATCCCAAACCTGAGTTTGGGCAGAGTAGCACACATAAGTGGGGGCATCTAAGGTTTGATCATCTCTTCACAAATCAAGGTCAAGCCCATGGTTCTGATCTGGGCCTGGAAGTTGCCTTTTCAAGTGATGCTCAACACTCAGGAGAGAGAAGCCAGCAGGATGCTCCCTGGCTTGAAAGCAAAGCTCAAAGATCAGATCTCACCTTTGGACGACACCATCTGGGCAATCTGTGGCTGGATCTGGGAGAAGGGATGGCTATACTGGGGCTCTCTGACACTACCCTCTTGACTGGACTTCTTCCCAGAGGCCCAATATTAATCTCTTCTTTCCTGATGGACTAGGAACAATGGTGGGTCACCTTGCTCTAAGACTAATTTGTGCTAAAACAGTAAAGCACTCAATTTAAGAAGCAGGCTGGGGTGGGGGGAGGTGTCGGGCGGTAGAACTAAAATACATCAGGCAGGGCACTTGCCTTGCAAGCGGCTGACCCAGCTTGGATCCCCAGCACCACACATGGTCCCATGAGTCCCACCAGGAGTGATCCTTGAGCACAGGGCTCAGAGTAAGCCCAGAGCATCACTGGGTATGGCTCAACCACAAGAGAAGCTGATACCTCCCTCCGCTCACATCCCATTACTCTGCTCACTAGCTGGGTGCCCTTGGTCACGTGTCTAAGCTCTTTTGTCTGTTTGTTTGTTTATAGGGTTATCCAATCCCAGAGGTCAGACTCAGGATCTCAGCATCCTAGGCACAGGCACACGCATAACCACATCTCTCCAGACAGGTTTGGTTTTTGTTTGTTTGTTTTAACTCCAAAGCATCAGTGTCCTCATTGAGAACTGAGAATAATAATAAAATACCTCCTAATGGGTCTTTTTTGAGAAGTTGTAGCATATACATGTGTAGCACATAGAAATTATGTTAAAATTAATTAAAATTAGCATCTACTATATGTTACCTCTACCAATTATATTATGGATCTGCCTGCTAATTGAAGCTTCCATCCGTCTACCCCAACATGCAAAATTTGATATGTTCCAGGTCTTTCTAGAAAACAAATACACACTGCTCATTTCTTCCACCCACAAAGCTAATAATCAGTGCCTCATTCTACCATATGTTCACGGCTGCTATAATCCATATGGGACTCAGCAAGAGAAGCTGATTACTCATTTTTATCAGTCTGTTAAGCATATACGTTAATTTATATAAAATATTTACCCATTGAAATTCATCACTCACTTCCCACCCACACATTTTTTTTTCCCATCTCAGTTGCACTAAACTGCTCAAACTAGTCAAGTTCACATCTGATTCTTGGCACCTGTCCTGGTATTTTCTAATGTGAAAATTGACATTACAACAGTATCATAAGCTTTGACTCTAGGATATACCTTGAATCCATGCATTTTTGTCATTCCTACTGGATTCACCTTTGTTCAAACGCTTATCAGGGTTGTAACAAGGGCTCTTAATCATCTCCCCACTCTTGTTCTTTTGTTGTTACTGTTGTTGTTGTTGTTGTGTGGTTTCAGAGTCAAATCTGGCAGTGATCAGGGCTTACTCCTGCCAGGGCTCGGGGACCATATGTAGTGCCAAGGTTTGAAACTCGGTCTGACCGTGTGCAAGGCAAGTTCCCTATCCATGCTGTTCTGTCTCTCCAGTCCCTCCCTACTTCTACTCTTAATCATTCTTTGCTTCTATTCTTACAAGCCAGTGATTTAAAAACAAATGTCCGTTCCTATTTCCCCTGTGTCCTCCTTTTCTATCTGCTCAAAAAAAATGACACCAACTTACTATCCTAAAGCAACACAAGGACTCCCTTCCAGCTCTTTAACATGGAAGTCCAAAGCAAGAGGGAAAAGGTTCCCTGAGTTACAATCAAGGTCCAAGCAGATTTTCTCAGGGCTCTAGACCATCCCCTGCTCCACCATTAAAGGCAGCAACTCTGCACTTGCCCGTCCTCACATCTCTGCTTCCCTCTTCCCCTTGGAAGGGGGTGCTAACCTGAGACATGACTGGTGAGAAGAGATTGAGCTCTCTGTTGCGGGAATTTAAAGCCCATTTGTGATTTACCTGGGGTCGCTCAAAATCCAGGATAATCCCAACCTGTTTTACAATGATTAGCAGCACAGTAATTTCTGCAGCCTTAATTTCCCTTTGTCTTGCTAACCTAACCTATTCAGTTTCAAAAGATTAGGGATGTTCTCTGGGGGCATTCTGCCTCCCACTATTTCCGCTTCAAAGTTCCCAGGAGTAACCTCTGTACTCAGGAATTACTTCTGGTGGTGCTCGGGGGACCATATGGGATGCAGGGGATGGAATTCAGGACAGCCACATGCAAGGCAAACGTCCTACCCGCTGTACTAGCGCTCCAGCCCCTAGCATGTACTTTAAAGAGATGATTTTGCTTGTGGATGGAAAGTTTGGGGTTCTTTTTTTTGGTTTGTTTTGTTTTTGGCTTTTGGGGTCACACTGGTTATGCTCAAGAGTTACTCCTGGCTCTGCCCTCAGGAATTACTCCACTGGTACTCAGGGTATCACGTGGGATACCGGGTATCGAACCTGGGTTGGCTGTGTGCATGTGCAAGGCAAATGCCCTGCCTGCTTTACTATCGCTCCAGCACCCATGGTGGAACATTTTTTAAAAAGATGCCCACTTTGCCTGCACTTGGAATGAACTTCCCTGGTTCCACACTTAAGAAAAGCTACTTTTAGGAACCTCTCTGCAGCCATACTGGTAAGGTGCCATCACGTGTGTGCACCCCCCAATTGCTTGAGCATGAAGCAAAGTAATGACGAGTTTGCAATAATGTCCTATAGTAATGTCCTAAAGGCTCTGGAACCCCTTTACTTTGTCTAAGGTTTCAGGTGCTGGCCTACCCTAGACCCACCGGTCTGACGGACCCATGTAATCAAGGCCCCCTTGTTCTCCTGTCATGGACTGTCTCACTCTGCTTGACCAAGCAAACACCCCTCTACAAGAGCAGGGGCCTTACCCGTCATGTTCTCTACAACAGCTCCAGAGCCCAAAGCAGGGGCTCTACATGTGGTTTATGCCAGATATGTGTGTGTGTTGTTGTTTCTGTGTGTCTGTGTGTCTGTATTTCTGTGTGTCTGCATGTGTGAAATAACTTACTATTGTGAGGACTAGGCAAGAGCTTTGCATGAATCTCTTATTACATTAAATGTCAGTTTTGTAGGCGCTGCTCCCAGCAGTGTGTGTGTTGGGGGCAGGGGGCCAAACTGATTCCCAGTGATGCTCAATCCACTGACATTGTGGGGTCACCAGCATCACACCTAGCAGTCCTTGGCACTAAGTCCTTAGTTCCAGGGATAGAACGAAGCACCTCGCAGGTGCCAGGCATGTGCTCTTACCCCCTGAGGAGTCCCCCAGTTACCAGTTAAATAGAATTATAAGTTGATACTACTGAAATGGGATAGAATCCACTGAGTAAACAATTTGCAAAATTTCCAGTCATAACAAGAATGAAGACACTTCCAAGTGAATCTAACAAGGGTTGCTTAGGTATTGCCAAACTCAATCAACCAGCTCCCAAAAGAGCTCACATTTTGGCTGCAAGTAAAGCCAGAGACCAGTTGTTTGCCAATATGCAGCAATAAAATCAGGACTCAGAGACAGTTTTTGCCCTGTTTCCACTCTTGAGAGAAAAGCAAAGAAAGCTGCTGGGGCAAGAAGCAGTTTGTTGTAGAAATAAGTAGAAAGTCAGAGCTGGAGTGATGGTACAGTGGGTAAGGCATTTGCCATGCAAATGACCAACCTGAGTTTGATCCCTGGCATTTTATACAGTCCCCTGAGCACTACTAGGAGTAACTGTTGAATGTAGAGCCTGAAGTCACCCCTGAACATTGCTGTGTGTGGTCCCCAAACAAACAAACAACAACAACAAACTCCAAATAAATAGAAATTCAAATTCAATAAAATGTCTGGACATAGCCACCACATTTTTCTGAAACCTAATTATTTCAAACCAAAGCATTTAGTGCATGTGGGGAAAAAATTAAGCTCATGAATTAAAGGAAATCAAATTCAGTGTGATGATATTAAAAATGTATACTAAAAGCTAACTAACCTCATTTTGGTTTAATATTTTCCGGTATTCGGTACTCCTTGCAAGAATAGTAACTCGAATTTTTCCATCCTGCATTAATGAAAATGACAAAACAATCTTTTGAATACCTGAATAAGTAATGATTAAACCTATAAAGCAGGTTTCACAGGGATTAAACTTAGCAAGGTTACAGGTTTCCAACAATTATTTTCAATCTCATCTCTTCACAGCTCTCTCTAAGGGGGAAAAAAAAGCGCCATTATCCACATATAACAAAAGTTGTGCATTCCACTCGATCTTGGTTTGTTAGTGGAGTTTTTGGCAGGAATACATGGACTATTGAAAATTAGGGAAGAATGGAAAAGCAAGAGCAGAGGAAAAGAAGAAAAGGCACATTTTTTTTCACCTTTCTGTAGTTTATCTTTCAGAGGGAGTGGATATCTGATATTTCTTTTTCTTTTTTTTATCATTCCAGGTAAGAAAACTTCAAGGGAGAAAATACTATCTCCTAACTATTTTTCGGTAGGTGCTAGAGATTTTTATTAGGAGTGAGGTCAAGCCCCCTCAGAACCACAAAGCGTTCATTACCATGGGTCCCTCCTGTGTGATGTTCAGTCTGTGTAGGACATGCTGGGAAAATGCCCTGAATAATCCAGTGTTCTGACAGCCAGATATCTAAAACAGAGAGAACAATTCATACTGCAGTGAAGAGTCTGTGTTACTCTTTGAAAGATTCTCGAGTTATATAGAAATGTCACATTAAAATTTACCAAGGTTTATCAATATGAATGCTAACAATAGCTGACTAGCTTACCAAAGGAGTGTTATAGAACAGTCCGTATCTCATTCGTGGGAGTAATGAAAAAATAGCTTCCTTAAAGCATACCTGCGAACAAAGACATTTTAAAAGGTAGGAGAATACATTTTGCATTCTTCTGAAAGAAACAGCACTTCCAATTCCTGATGGAGTTTCAATTAATATTTTCAAGTATTCTGAAATGATTTCAAAGAAAATTCATAGTTTGGAAGAGGTAGAGGGAGAAATCTTTTTAAGCTATATGCTTAAAAACAATGAAGATTCTAGTAATAAAAAAAGAGAGTGAAAAATTGATGATTAGAGCTAACAGAAATTCATATTAAATATTTACTTGATAAATGTATCATCTACAATGAGGGCTATCTATAGACATTTCAGTAGCATTGCAATACCCGTTTGGAATCATAAGTCTTCAGATGAATAACATCATAATCTGTAAATGCTTTCCACGTGTCTGAGAACAGGTCCCCATATCCATAGGAGCTCTGGAAGGAGAAATAAAAGTCCAGGTAATGATAGAGGGCCGACATAGCATTTTAAAAATACAGCAAATGGGTTGGAGAGAGAGTAGAGCATGCAGAGCTCTTGCCTTACATGCAAACAGGCCTGGGCTCGATCCCGGACACCCCATATGGTTATCCCCTGAACACAGCCAGGAGTGATCCTAAGCACAGAGGCAGGAGTAAACCCTGAGTACTGCCGGACATTGCCCAACCCTCTCCCCCACCCCCATCCCAGCTCAATGCAACTAAATCAGCCAAGAGGAAAGAAGGAACCTCTTCCTTTTCTCACACTGAAGAATACTTGTATATTCTTAATGATAAGAGAAAACTCTCACTGAGTGCTGGAGATAGTATAGGCTCAACAGGCTAAGTACATGCTTTGCATGCAGGAGAGATTTGATCCCCAGAAGACACTGCCATGAGCAATCCCTGAGCACACAACAGGCAGAAACCCCTGAGTATCACCAGGCATTGGCCCAACAGTAAAAAGCAAAACAAATTCCTCCTGAGTCTGTCCCAAATTTAAACATGCACATCACCTATGATTTATACATTCCACTTACAGGAATCTGTCCTCATTATGATTTTTTTTAAAAATGTGTCCAGAAATGCTACCATAAACATGTAAAGGGGATGTTCAGCGGTAAGATGCTGTCAACAGGTCAACCTGTACCTGCGGGGTGAGTGCATCAGCAGCCTGATAGCGCTTTGAAGCTTCCTGACACCCCAAAATTGCCGCTGTACCTTTGGCCGAACCCCCAACTTGGGACAAAGTTTAACAAGAAATTAAATGTCCAAAAGTTAATTATGTGGGAGTCATGCCCACAAACCATCTCTGGCTCAGCTATACAAGCTCATTTACTGGCCTTATTTCAGAGACCCATAGATAAATCTCGAAAGAGACAAAAAAGCCACAGTTAATCTTGGACCCGCACATGGCTGAACAGATTGGGGTAAATCAGAGGGGAGCAGAGCAGAGCCCCTGGCAATCACTTGCTTCCATAATCTAAAATCACCACCATACCCTTGACCTTGGGCTAGAGCGATAGCACAGCGGTAGGGTGTTTGCCTTGCACACAGCCAACATCGCTGACCCGAGTTTGATTCCTCAACCCCTCTCGGAGAGCCCGGCAAGCTACCAAGAGTATCTCGCCTGCATGGCAGAGCCTGGCAAGCTACCCGTGATGTATTTGATATGCCAAACACAGTAACAACAAAGTCTCCAATGGAGACGTCACTGGGCCCGCTTGAGCAAATCGATGAACAACGGGAGGACAGTATTACAGTATTACAGTATTACCCTCGACCTGACTCCACCATCTCAGGACAGACCTCACCAAGATATAATCTGCTGAAAATTTGGGTATGTGGGTTTTGTAACTGAAATCTCCAGGCTTTCACAGAGTTGGGGTGGGCTACCTCCCCCCACTTCCCAATACACATGGAAGCACTGGCAGTCACCCCCATGAACCCACTCCAGTGCCACCCTGTAAACTATTACTAGCCTCGCTTCAGAAACCCATAAGTAAATCTTAAAGGAGATCAAAAGCTATCAAAAACACAGCATCAAGTCCCAGAAGACACCACAGAACTGGAGATCTCCCCAGGACCCATACTGAGCCAATTTCCCTAGGGCACCTCAGATGGGGCTGGTGCAGTCTCCCTGCCTACTCCAAATGGAAGCCCAGCAACCAAGAGCTTCCACAAGCACGGCCCAGGTATGTGGGTTCCAGGACTAAATCTCCATACCACATGGCAGCAGAGGCACCAGGCTGTCCCTCCCTGGCTACCCACCCGCTCATCGGCATGGCTGTCACACCCACAATGTGCCTCCAGGTGCCATCTTAGCGCACCAACAGCCCTGGTCCAGAGACACCCAGTTGAAACCCAAAATGGATTAGTGCCCTACAGAAATGTCTCTGTAACCCAACCATTTACAATCTAGGATTCCAGAAGCGTGCGGCCACGGCACCCAAGGTTTTCAAAATGAGCAACAGACAATAAGTGATCTAGCATCTGCCCCTGGCAGGCAGGCTTAAATGGTGGTGGGAAAATTCTAGCAAAACATAATGCCCAAAAGTAGAGAAAGAGAGTATTGGGGAAATTGCCTGCCATGGAGGCAGGGTGAGGATTGGGATGGGGTCAGGGGGGATATACTGAGGATATTGGTAGTGGAAAGTGTGCACTGGTGGAGGGATGGGTGTTCGATCATTGTACAGCTGAATCTCGAAAATGAAAGCTATGTAACTGTATCTCACAGTGATTAAAAAAAAAGTAATGTGGAGTTCATGCCCAATTCAATCAGCTTAATTAATGGCTGAAAAAATAACAGTGCCCCTGAATAAATAACAGTACCTCTGGAGGGATAGCACGGTGGTAGGGCATTTGCCTTGTGTGCAGCCAGCCTGGCCTACCCAGGTTCGATTCCTCCGCCCCTCTTGGAGAGCCCAGCAAGCTACCAAGAGTATCTCGCCCACACGGCAGGGCCTGGCAAGCTCCCCGTGACGTATTCGATATGCCAGACACAGTAACAACAAAGTCTCCAATGGAGACGTTACTGGGCCCGCTCGAGCAAATCAATGAACAACAGGAGGACAGTGCTACAGTGGACAGTGCTACCCCTACATTAAAAAAAATTTTATAATGTGGCTATTGGCCCTCCCGTTGATCATTGATTTGCTCGAGCGGGCCCAGTAACGTCTCCATTGGAGACTTTGTTGTTACTGTGTCTGGCATATCGAATACGTCACGGGGAGCTTGCCAGGCTCTGCCGTGCGGGCGAGATCCTCTCGGTAGCTTGCTGAGCTCTCCGAGAGGGGCGGAGGAATCGAACTCGGGTCGACCATGTTGGCTGCGTGCAAGGCAAACACCCTACCGCTGTGCTATTGCTCCAGCCCAACTAGAAAATTCAAAATTACAAGCATGACTACAAAAAAAAAAAAAAGATGATGTTCATTGCAACATTTCAGTACATAGGAAAGACATGAAAACAAGCATAACAGGGGCACAAACCAGAGATAAATACATGCACAGAAGCAAACAGACATCACACATTCCTGACGTCATGATTTAACTTCCTTCCAACTGCTGAATGAAACAACTGAAAGTGCTGATAGGAAAGATAAAGGAAAGATAGCCATGATTGTCCATGAAACAATATTGTTAGCAATTTGAGAAAGAGTATATTTTCTATAAAGATAGAATATCCTTACATAAAGTGTATATATTGCATATCTATAATATTTACTACACATAGATTTTTATATGAATTTCCTGAAATTTATATTTATTAATACAAAATGGCTGGAGCAATAGCACAGCAGGTAGGGCATTTGCCTTGCACGCAGCCGACCCGGGTTCAATTCCTCCGTCCCTCTCAGAGATCCCAGCAAGCTACCAAGAGTATCCTGCCCGCACAGCAGAGCCTGGAAAGCTCCCTGTGGTGTGTTTGATATGCCAAAAACAGTAACAAGTCTCACAATGTGAGACATTACTGGTGCCCGTTCGAGCAAATCGATGAACAACCAGAGGACAGTGCTACAGTGCTAATTTAAAAAGGTCTTACAAGGGACTCGGGTACATTAACTGCAATTACCTCTAAGAACAGATTGAAGGACAGTGGAGAATTTTTGTATGTTCGTTTCTTTTGGTATGTTGGGCCACACCTGGCAGTGTGTGAGGTGTTCAGGGACCATGGGGTGCTAGAGATTTCAAGGGGCCTTCCATGTGAAAACTCTGAGTGTTCTTAATGTCCCTGAGAAAGAAGAGTTTCTGTTTACACCATACCCAGAGGTGCTCATGGCTTATTCCTGGTCTGTGATCAGGAATAACTCCTGGCAAAACTCAAGGAACCATTTGGGGTGCTAGATATTAAAACTGGGTCACTGTGAGAATGAAGACTTTTAACTTTATTTCTATATTGCTGAGACTCCTTATAACCAAGTATCACTTAATTTAAAATGATAAGGAGACCATACTGCTTTTCAGCACAGGAAAATACAGAAAGGCACTCTGGAATCCCACACATCACTATATCCCAGCTTGGAAGACAAAATTTCTTCTTTTATTCCACAGGGTCCCTTCTTCTCATATTTCTTAAATTAAACTATTTTAATTCACACACACACAACTAAATAAAAGCTCACAATGAGTTTCATTTTATTCGTTCTGCCGCAAAAGAGCCACCCTGCCATGCTCAGAGATGTATGTGCAGAAGAGACTCTCAGGAAATCCCTTGAGGTTGGGGCCTTGCCCACCATATGCTTCACAAGTGGCCGTGCTGCTGGGTTGTGAGGGAGGGGTGAGGAGACCCTGTGAACTTATTTGCAGGGAAAGATGAAAACTGTGACTAAGATCTGACCTGTATGTAGACACATCCACCCCCTCACCTCCCCCGGGCACCCTGTGACAACAGTGTTCACGGCAGACACATTGCTGCCTTAATCAAGGCCTTAACAAGCAAAAGAAAAGAGTCTGCGGCCACACACCGAACAATATCCCCATCTAAGGGACAGCATTCTGGAGGCCTGAATTCTGCAGCAATCCGATTCTACTGAGCCCCTAACTGACAGCTGGTGGAAACCTCTCAGACTATCCCTGCTTGTTCAAAACAAGCAGAAAGAAAAGGGCAAAGGAGGGAGCTGGGAACGGGGGAACCCACCCATTCAGCAGAATGCACCCTGCGTCTTCCCAAAAGTCACAGTCAGGCTCCCAGGCATCACAGTCCCAGGAACGGGTCAATGGGGAGCTTTGTGGTAGCAGCGTCAGGCCCGCAGGCAAAAGATAAGTTATAAAAGCTGGTTCTATTTACGTCAATCTACTTGTAGAAGACATGGGAAAGATTCCAAGACAGTGAAGCTAGTGAAAAGTGTTCTGGAAGCTTCAGACAAGTCTTTCGGGACAGGGGAGGAGTTGGCATTCCTCCTTCCCCCTGCCCCCCCCCCCCATGGGACTCTGATAAGATGCCACACCCGGCCACTGTCTACTTAAGCTCCCACACGGCCAGGATCCAGAGACACTCAAATGAACCTTGGTTCTAAGCAACATGCTGTTGCAGTGACCTCTTCAGACCCTAATTATTAAAATTTTAGAATTCCTAGAGCGGCTGTGCAACATTATATTGCATCCATAACAAACAATACAAAACATATTGCCTAGCATTGTGTTTTCGGCAAGTATGAGTGGTGGTGGGTCTGGTCTCGAAATATAGAAGGCAACTAAGTAGAAAAAGAGGGAGCTGGAGCGATAGTATAGCAGGGAGGGCGTTTGTCTTGCACGCAGCTGACCCAAGTTCGATTCCCAGCATCCCATATGGTCTCCCGAGCACCACCAGGAGTGATTCTTGAGTGCAGAGCCAGGAGTAACCCCTGTGCATCGCTGGGTGTGACTCAAAAAAAAAAGAGCTAAAGTAAAGAAAGAGAGTATTGTGCAAATTGTCTGCCACACAGGAAGGGGGAGGTGTGGAATGGGGGGAGGAGGATACTGGGGGTTTTGGTGGTGGAAAATGTGCACTGGTGAAGGGATGTGTGTTTGATGACTGTATGATTGAAACTCAAACATGAAAGTTTTGTTACTGTACCTCATGGTGAATCAATAAAAAAAGAAAAAAAATTGTACTGCAGCTCCAAACAGAGAATTGAGTCAGAATGCCTGGACCAGAGGCTTGTCCCCACCCTGCACTGGCTGAGCTCAACAGCATTATCTTAGATACTTCTTGCTGCCCAGAGCCTCCACTTCCCCCACCCTACCCCATCCGCATAAAATCAGTTAATCAAACCTGAGTTCATAAAGAGCTGTGAATATTCAATGGCATAACACTGAATGTTATTAATCAACAACTGAAGAAAAAAAAAACCGACAACAACCATGAGTTAATCATTCTGGGTGCCTGAGCTCCTGAAATTGTGACCAAGCCGCACTTAATACAGAACAAAAAAAAAAGAGAGCAGGGACTGCTTGTTCCTTTTATTCACAGAAACATTTCCAAGAAATGAAACCGTGGTGGCAGCAAAACTGGAGCACAAGAAGGAAATACAGACAGATGCAAAGCAGGAACCAAGAGGGGGCAGGACCTTGCCAAAAAATACACAGCCAATTTTCACTGGACTTCAAGTCATACAAAAGGTCTAGGGAGCAAGCATAAATAAAAATCCTCTCTACACAGTTCGGCTGGGAGCCTCTTATCTGTGAACAAAAGTATTAGCAGTGTTCAGGTGAGGGTGGAAGGGAGGAGCACCAGGTAAACTAGATAATTTGTTTAGTCATTTTAAAACTAGGGGTGGGAGGACCAGAGCAATAGAACAGTGGGTAGGGTGTTTGCCTTGCACGTGGCTGACCTGAGTTCAATCCCGGCATCTCATATGGTCCCCCAAACATCAACAGGAGCAATTCCTGAGTGCAGAGCCAATAGTAACCCCTGAGCATGGCTGGGTATGACCCAAAAATAAATAAATAAATAAATAATAAAACTAGAGGCTGCAGTGATAGCACAGCGGGTAGGGCATTTGCCTTGCATGTGGCCGACACAAGTTTGATTCCCAGCATCCCATATGATCCCCTGAGCACCACCAGGAGTAATTTCTGAGTGCAGAGCCAGGAGCAACCCCTGTGCTCACCAGGTGTGACTCCAAAAAGCAATAAATAAATAAATAAATAAAGCACACTATAAGCCTTTCCCTCCCATGCCACTGGGCTCTGTGCCAGATATTGTGACTTTCCACATACACCACATTAATCATTCTTTTTTTCTTCTCTTGGATCACACCTGGCAGCACTTGGGAGTTGCTCCTGTCTGGTGGGTCTCAGTGGGTCACATGGGCTGCCGGGGATCAAACCTGGGTCAGCCATACGCAAGGGAAATGCTGTACATTACTACCTGATGTACTGTTACTTTGGCCCCCACGCTGATCATTCTTACAATAAATTACACTGAGATAGATACTACAATGATCCCATTTCACAATTGAGTGTCTGGAGGCAACACCCAGGATTATCTCAACGGGATGAGGCAAGAAGCATATGGGAAGAAGCAAGGGAAAGAACAGAAAACCAGCGGGTCGGGGAGGAGAGGGTTTGCGGGGTACACAGGACCAAATGCCAAAAAGTAAATAAACAGCAGTAATAATTCAACAAATGGATGTATTCACAAGCCTAAGTATTGTCCTGTGCATTGACGTGATGCACATAGCACAACTGGCAAGAAGCAAGTAACAACAAGGAGGCTTCGATGAAGCAGAGGCAGGTGGACTACAAGAGGCTGACTACCACTCACAAATTACAAGAAGCAAATGTTCCCAGCACATTTCCTATGGGCGCTCACAGAGGTTCAGAAAATGTATCATTGTCTGTGTGTCTCAGGAGAACACAGAGCACAGGGTTTTGTCTTTGAAATCCCTTGTTCAAGAAATCCCACAGCCTATTCTAAATACAGAGAACAGAGTTACACATACACACACACAGACAGACAGATAGATGGATAGATAGATAGGTAGATAGATAGATTTCATCAATATCCATGCAGTAAAGGCATCTACGCAGACACAGGCACACTCATTCACATAGGCCTGGATGTGGTGTGCACAAGCACACATTTGAAAATGTGTCTCCGAGAAGATTCCCTCTCAAAGCATCATGGTCATGGCCATGCACTGAATGAGCAAACCCACAACAGAGGCAGAGAGAGTCTTACTTACAGTGTCCCACATCACGATGTACACGTCGGTACTGAATGAATTATTAACATGTTGAGTAATATAAAGATTAATAAAGTCACAGAAGTGGTGATACATGTTAACACCTAGTATGGGGAGAAAAAATTTAGGTCAGTTATCCCTCAGACAACAAATGACTATTGATTACATATAAAATAGCAATTGTTATTCTATCCCATTCATTTGAAATAAGAATTTTAGCTGAAATAAATGGGAGGAAAACAGTTTTTGTTTGTTCCTAGACCACACCTGGCTGCACTCAGGGCTTACTCCTGGCTCTGCACTCAGGGATCACTGACTGAGTGGTACTCAGGGGACTACGTGAGGTGACGGGAATCAAACCCATGTCGAAAGTATGCCAGTTGTGCTATCTCTCCAGGCCCGAAAATAAACTCTTCTTAACATGAAATGATACGCAGGTAAATACAACTTACAGACTGATTATATTCAAAAATTTTCAAAAACTCCCTTTAAAATGGAATATTTATAAATTAGGAATTCCATCCACTTCCAAATTAGGATGTGTATTTTTCTACTTTGTAGATTCTCACTGTTCTCTTTCTGTTCTCTGTGTGTGTGTATGTGTGTATGTATGTCATATTTCCTAAATAAAACTACTTATTTCCCCATCTATACTAAGTAAGAAATGATGATTACATTCCCAGAGAAAAAAAATAGTAAATCTATTGAAATCAAAATGGTGTCAATTGTAAGGGCATAAGGACTAGCTGTTATTTTTATGTTCAGTATGTTTTAGATCAACCAACAACACATGTTCATCAAGTTATCAATGATGATGTAACTAACAATATGCTGGTATTTCTCTTTACTGTCCTTTTCCTACTTAATCACTACTTTGATCATTTTGCTTCTTGGGAAAACATTAACCAGCTCTCATTTCAAAGGCTGCTGCCTGGCTCATGTTCTAACTGTAAGAGCATGAACTTTGGAGTCAGAATAACTGACCTGACTTTCAGTTCGGCTGCCATGTGCAATGCTTTCACAGAAGCTTGTAAAGTTCCAGAGGCTTAGCTTCTCTAGCATAAATAGGAATTCAATGTACTTAGGTACTAGCTTGGTTCAGAGAAATCTAAAGATAATGTATCTAAAAAGAAATTGGCCCAGTACTTGACATGTGGCAAAAACCTCTGTGAAGACTCCCCTGAGCTCATAAGGTTCCAAGAATTAGTGAAAAGTGCTGCAGCTACATGTAAAATTCTAAGCTGGTCTTTACAAAGAAATTGAACACACACACACACACACACACACACACACACACACACACACAAATCATTTTGGGTATCAGGACAGGAAATTCAATCTTGCAATCTGTACATCTAACCAAACAGGCTGGAATTCCAAGAACCAGCAGTTTAAGCCTACATTTTCAAAAAAGGAAAATGTTGGCCTAAAAAGAAACAATGACTCCCCAAAGTAGAAATCATAAAAATATCCTCAATTTTCTTCCCCACAGTGAAAAATAATGCATGCCAGAAAATAAGGGGGGGAAATCCCTGTTCTCTTTAGCCTGGTATCTTAGATACTCCTTCACTCACAAAGCTCTGACAGGGAGCAAATTTTCAAGTAAACAAGAAAAATAGCATTCTGTTAGAACATGAGCCCTTTTCCCTGGATAGTGCACCGCACATACTGGTTCTCCCGTGGATCAATCCATGAGTCCCCAGAACTGACTGAGGAAAGCTGCATGCACAAAATAGCGTAGGGGCCATAAGGACCTAAAAATAAGGAAGAAAATAGGCTCCAGTCCCAGAAACGGGCCTGCAAATGGGCTTTACTCTGCGGAATGCTCATTCTCTGGAGGTGCGAGTGAATACAAAAAGGAAAACGGAACAACAGGCTAAGGTAGAAGAAAATAAAACACAGAATTATGAGTATTGGAAATTATTGCCTTTGTACACTAGCGCATTATTCCTATTTTACATACTTTACCGCCTAAGTATCTACATAAATTTAACAGTTTGCACATACTCAACTCTTTCGTGGAAAGATCAGAGTTTTCTCTCCTCCATTTTCGTATTTTTAAAATGAGTCAGAAGCTCAAGCATAGCGTTTTTACTTGCTTAACAAAACCCGAAGCTCGTCTGATCTCTGAACTTAATACTTTGTAACATAAGAATTATGACTTCCATAGGCTGAGCACATTGAAAAATATGATCAATAAATGATGGCAAGTCTGACATATCTGTGACAGAGCGCTCTCTATATTTCACTGTAAGCCCAGCCCCTCATGAATTTGGAAATGGGGTAGCCTTGCCCTCATCTGAAATGAGAGAGGGTTGTGTTCTCCCCTGCAGGGCAGCTAGTTCACAAAGTTGAAGCTGTTCTTGAAAGTTGAGTCAGAAATGATAAGTATACATGGGAAAATAATTTGGTTTAATATGTACTGAAGTACTCACTTCCAGAAGAATTTTAAGTTCATTTCGTCATGGAAATGATTTCAGAAAGACAGCCAAAAGTCCCAGACATTCTATTTCCACCCAGAGTACTCACATGGTTTTTACTTTAACATTTTTTCTAATGGTTTCTAAATTGAATGATTAGATAAACCAAGTGGAATAAATTTAGTTACATATGCCTTCTTCTCTCATCTTTGATTTTGACTGAGTCATCTGATATAAACGTGAAGGTTTCTTCTAAAAAAGAAGAAAATATAAAGCAGAAAATAATGGAAAGCTCAGAGAAAATTCACTGCTTCAGAGAAGCAAGGAAGCAAGGCCATTGTTCAAAGTCAAGCTGCTTCCCAAAAAAGGTACAGGAAGCCACTATATAAATACACCAAAAAAATACACAAAGGAGGCGAGAGTGACAGCACAGTGGGTTAAGCACTTGCCTTGCACATGGCCAAATTCAGGTTCAATCCTGGCTTCCCTGATGGTCCCCCAAACTTAGCAGGATTGATCAATTACGGGGAGTAATGCCTAAGCATCACAGAGTGTGGCCCCAAAACCACACACACACACACACACACACACACACACGAAACAAAAACCTCATTAACAAATATGTAAAGGACAGATTAGCTTCTCACCGGCGTCCAATTTCATAAAGTAAGTTGGTTTTTCAATAACCAGGTCACATCTAGCATCTTCTATAGGTCTGAAGTTGAGCTGAGTATAGCTTTGTAGTTCAGCAAACCTGGAATAGAAATTGGGAGATGCCTTCAAGGTGACTCCCCCACAATGCAACAATCTAACTTAGGATCTGTTACACTGATCTGTTACACTCTAATTTAGGAGCTGCTACGTAGAGCTTCTCAAACATAAGAACATTTACATAACCCGGTGTTGAATTTATTTTTGTTTGTTTTTTGGGGGGTCACACTTAGCTGTGCTCAGACTTACTCCTGATTCTACACTCAGGAATCACTCCTGGTGGGCTGCAGATGGAGTGCTGAATCAAACCTGGGTCAGCCGGGTGCAAGGTTAGTACCTAACCCACTTTCTATCACTCTGCCCTCCTGATGTTGATTAAATTTTGAGACAAGGGTACCGGAGACCAGAGACATAGTAAGGTGCTTGTCTTGTACAAAGCTGACCCAGGTTCGCTCCTTGGCACCATATATGGTCCAAAGAGCCCCACCATGAAAGACACCTAAGCATAGGGCCAAAAGTAAACCTTAAGCATTGTCAGATGTGCCCCCCCAAACAAAGATACAAAAAATGTTGAGACAAGGGACAAAGATGTTTTTGAAATTCAGCCTAAAGGTAAAGGTAAAGGCCCTCCCGTTGATCGTCGATTTGCTCGAGCGGGCCCAGTAACGTCTCCATTGGAGACTTTGTTGTTACTGTGTCTGGCATATCGAATACTCTCGGTAGCTTGCCGGGCTCTCCGAGAGGGGCGGAGGAATCGAACTCGGGTCGGCCATGTTGGCCGCTTGTAAGGCGAACGCCCTACCCGCTGTGCTATCACTCCAGCCCAATGAGCAAAAGTTAACTGGAAACTTTTCAGAGACGAGATGTACACATTGAGTTGACTAAATGGTCTAACAGCGAGATGGCTGTTATTCAAAAGGACTTCCCGTGATCCGACAAGGATTAGAAGTAACAATGAGTCCAGAATCTCTGGTGATGGGTTTCTTGGATTCTGCGAAACAGGAGATTCCAGGAATTGCGGGCACCTCGGAAGTGGCAACCGGTTCAGGCATTTGCCAGAAGAAAGGAAATTTGTTTCTCAGAAAACATCTTTGGAAGCCACAAGGCACAGTTTTCTTCCATACAGAAGACAATCACAAGCATGTGAAAGGGGGTGTTTAAAACTCTTAAAGTCCACATGAATGTGAATTAAATATGAAATAAATCCTAAAATCCATAGTTGTTCATCTAGAGAGATAGTACAGGGGGGTTAGGCATTTGCCTTAAGCACAGCTGACCCAAGTTTCATCCTTGTACCATATATGGCCCCCTGAACCCCACCAGGAGTGATATTTGAGAGCAGAACCAGGAGGAAGCCAGGAGCACCAACAAGTGTGGCCCAAAACTCTCAATGACTTTAAATATCCACAATTATGAAATATTGTGGTGATTTTAAAAAGATGTCCACAAATTATTAGCTGCCTCTTCCTTCAAGAGATATAGATTTATTTCCTTCCCTAAGGATGGGTTAATTTTAGAATTAATTTATACACAATGGCAAAGGCAGTGGTGTGTCACTCTGAGATGAGGGCACACCAAGATTGAGGTCTGTATGTTAGGGAATCCTCTCCGTGTCTCTTTCTCTGTTTCTGTCTCTGTTCTTCAACAGAGCCGCCCTAGCTCTTAGGGAAATTTGCTACTATGCTGTGAATAAAAAGAGGCCAATGTGGCTAGGAAATTATTCCTCTGGTCAACAGCCAGAAAGAGGGCCAGAGTAAAAGTACAGTGGTTAGGGCGTTTGCCTTGCACATGGACGACCAAGGTTCTATCCCTGGCATCCTATGTGGTCCCCCAAGCACTGCCAGGAGCAATTCCTGAGTGCAGGGCCAGGAGTCACCCCTGAGCATCACTGGGTGTGACACAAAAAGCAAAAAAAAAAAAGAAAAGAAAAGAAAAGAGCCAGAAAGAAATGGAAGCTTACAACCACATGAGATGAGTGAGCTCAGAAGCAGATTCTCTAGGCCCAGCTCACTTTAAAGATAACCACATTCCTGGTCAATTTGTTTCTTGATTTTGTTTTAGTTTTGGGTCACATCCAGCAGTGCTCAGGACTTATTCTTGGTTCTGTGCTCAGCGATCACTCCTGGCAGGCTCTAAGGACCATAAGGTGTTCTGGGGATCAAACCTGGGTTGGCCATGCAGAAGGCAAAAACACCATCCTAGTCATTTTGATGCAACCTCCTAAAAGATCGTACATCAGAACATTATAGATAAGCTGCTTCAAATCCTGAACATCAGAAACATAATGAGAGCATAAATATTTGTTCTTTAAGGGTTTGGAGCAATTTGTTACTTGACAACAGACAATGAACATAAAAGGATACGTGAGGACATGGCTACAGTCTACTTAAGCTCCTACATGGCCATGATCCAGAGACACACAAATGAATCTCAGACCCGAGCTATTTGCTACAGAGATGGCTCTGGACTTTGAAATAGGCCATTTTCACCGGGCCACTACAGTTGGGGGCAGGTACTATCCCTCCACCTGCCCTTTAGGAATCCTGGCAGCTGCCATCTTTTAGAATTCAGCAAAAAACTCCAGGTACAGTTGGTGGTGGCGGGAAATGCCAGGTCTCATGGGACAGGAGAAGAGTCAGTCTTTCTCCTTTCCCCCCGGCCAATGGGACTCTGAGATGATGCCCACACACAGCTACCATCTACTTAAGCTCCCACACGGCCATGATCCAGAGACAAACAAACAAATCTCGGACCCAAGCAACTTGCTACAGTGATCTCTCCAGACCATAATTATTAAAATTTTAGAATTCCTAGACATTACATTGCATCCATAACAAGCAATACAAAACACACTGTCTAGCATTGCATTTTTGGCAGGTATGAGTGGGGGTGAGACTGGGCTCAGATATCGAAAGTAACCAAAGTAGAGAAAGAAAGTATTGTACAAATTGTCTACCACGCAGGCAGGGGTAGGTGTGGAATGGGGTTGGAGGGGAATACTGGGGACTTTGGTGGTGAAAAACGTGCACTGGTGAAGGGATGGGTGATTGATGATTTTATGATCAAAGCTCAAAAAGAAAAGCTCTGTTACTATTCCTCGTGGTGAATCAATAAAAAGGGAAAAAATAATAATAAAAAATTAAAAAATGAAAAAAGAAGCATACATGAGGATATCTTGAATAATGCAGTACACAGAATAATACAAATACTGGAGCACTGGAGCACTGGAGCACTGTCCTCCCGTTGTTCATTGATTTGCTCAAGCGGGCCCAGTAACGTCTCCATTGTGAGACTTGTTGTTACTGTGTTTGGCATATCGAATACGTCATGGGTAGCTTGCCAGGCTTTGCCGTGTGAGCGAGATGTTCTCGGTAGCTTGCCGAGGGTCTCTGAGAGAGACAGAGGAATTGAACCCAGCTTGGCCGGGCCACCTGTATGCAAGACAAACGCCCTACTGCTGTGCTATCACTCCAGCCCAATACAAATACGCCCTAGGGAAATACGGTAACAAAACACACTAGAAATCAATTGTCAAATATCAGCTATCAGGGTTATGGTGCATGCCTTGCATGCAGTCTAACCCAATTCAACCCCTAGCACTTCAGTAGGTGGTCTGAGCACCTCCAGGAGTGATCCCTGAACACAGACCTAGGAGAAAGCCCTTAGCACCTCTGGGTTGATCCCCCAAACCAAAAAGTCATAAAATAAAAAAAAATTTTAGCTTTTTGGGTCACAGCTTGTCATGCACAGGGGTTACTACTGGCTCTGCACTCAGGAATTACTCCTGGCGGTGCTCAGGGGACCATATGGGATGCTGGGAATCGAACCCAGGTCGGCCTCATGCAAGGCAAACACCCTACCCACTGTGCTACTGCTCCAGCCCATAAAATAAAAATTTTAAAAATCTTACCAAGACTGCAGTGGGCTTTTACGCTGACCTTCAGACATCAATGTATGACTGTCCAGTGTACAGTGTCCTCCAATCTCCCCGCTCTGGAAGAAGCCTTCCTTAAATCTGGGAGATAGGAAGGTGAGTTCAGAAACACGCTTCATGAATTTCAGCACACAGACTGTAACTAATATGGTTCACCAACTTCTAAAATCAGTTTTCATTAGAATTTTTTTAACTCCTGATATAGTAGAATATTTCAAACATACAAAAGTAGCAGAATGGTATAAAGGAAACTTATGCAGACATACCTCAGCTTCATAATTATCAGCTTGTAACCAATCTGGGTCTTTGGCCCTTTCTCCAATATTATTACCCATGTTATTATGAAGCAAACCTAAAGCATATGCCTGGATCTGCAATGTATTCAAAATTTTCATTACATTTTAATAGCCACTTCAGTACCTGTCATGGTTTCTCTTGACGTTTCTTAAGTCAAGGTAAAGATGGGTTGCTCTGCAATACTGGAGAAAACGGGAACATTCCAGACTTGAGTCACTCTGAAATTGAATTGAGAAGGGGAGGACAGAACTCTGAGCATTAACATTCTGAGAATGCACCCAGACTTGCTAAACCTGTTGATGGCTTGTACAACTTCAAGTTCAAACTACATAGCTTGATAAAGAATTTAAAATTTTTAAAGCATTTTTCTGATCCCTAGCAAAGCCTGGTCAAGCACACTTAGGCCAATTCACACACTTTTAGGTTATTATGAAGAACCCCCAAGCATTCTATTTATATCACTTCAGATTTTAAAGCCAAGAAGTATATCTGCAGCTTAGACCAGTACTTTTCAAAAAGAAAGGAAGAAACAAACTCAGAAACTACACTATCCCCGGTCGTGTGAGGAAAACGTTTTTCAAAAGCAAGCCAAATGAAACAAAGAAGAATGAAAATTTAAAAATGAAAAAATGAAACAAAAAATTACGAAAGAGATGTTAAGATGCAAGGCAGGAAGGGAAGCTTACCAATTTTATTAAGAGAGACTTTCTGTAAACCATAAACCTTGTGGGAATTTCTGTCTCAGTAGAAGCATGAGGGCAGTGTTTTCTAATTCACTGAAGAGTACATGCCCGGGTCCTGTTTCTATCAATCCAGTTTGTATTGAAAGATGAATACTCCCAAAACATTCATCTACTCTACTATGGATTTTTATTTATTGGTGAACTGCTATCTTCCTGATTTCTACCCATAACTTGCAATGAACGTGAGACTCTAATCTTGACCCGAATGGGATCCATAGCTGGTATGGGGCCATACTCAAGCAGCAATAACAGGATTAAGTATTTTCATACTTAAAACGCTGGTTTGGTTTGGCTTTGGGCCACACCTGTTAGTGCTCAGGGCTTAGTCAACCTCCTAAAAATCCTGCATCAGGCAACCTCCCAAAAAATCCTGCATCAGAATCACAGCAGGAAGCATTCTATAAGCAGAGACTTTCTGAGTCTCCTGTACTAGGAGGCTGTTCCTGAACCCATTCTGTGTGACTAGACTCCACCAAAGTGTGCAACATATGAAGCAGGGGCTGATAATGGCACCCTGCAGCAGGGCAGGTTATGGCCAGGCCTCCCACCTGCAAATGCATCTTTTAAAAGTTCTATTATGGCCAGAACAGCACAATACATAGTACACACAACAGTACAGCAAGTAGAGCACTTGCCTTGCATGTGTTGAACCAGGTTCGGTCCCCAGCACCCCATAGCATCTCCCAAGCCCTGCTAGGAGTGATCCCTGAGCATAAAATCAGGTGTAAGCACTGAGCACTATCATATGTGAACCAAAAACAAATTAATAATAATAAAAATAAATAAAAGTTAAACTATGTGTCATCTCCAAAAATACGATAGCACATATATTCCACTTTTGGAATTTTTTTAATTTTAGTTTTCTCAAATTCCTGGAATTAAGAAAAGGTCCCTGGGGGGCTGGAGCAATAGCACAGTGGGTAGGGCATTTGCCTTGCATGCAGTCGACTGGGTTTGATTTCCAGCATCCCATGGGGTCTCCCGAGCACCGCCAGGAGTAATTCCTGAGTGCATAGCCAGGAGTAATCCCTCTGCATCACCGGGTGTGACCAAAAAAATACAAATAAAAAGAGAGAGAGGAAAAAAAAGCAAAAGGAAAAGTCCATAAGATGTCAGAGACATGGAACAAGTTCAAGAATATGGGACTAAAGTGATAGAATAGCAGGTAGAGCACCTGCCTTGCATGCTCCCAATCCAGGTATGCTCCCTGGCACCCTATATGATTCCACCAGGAGTGACCCCTGAGTGCTGAGGGAGGACTAAGCCCTGAGCACTGACAGGTGTGGCCCCAAAGCCAAACCAAACCAAAAAAAAATTATATAAACATAGAGAGAGAAAAAGAGTAAGAGAATAAATGTTAATCTAAATGCTACAACTTCATAGGCGTTTAAAAACTAACACCAATGGGGCTGGAGCTATTGCACAGCGGGGAGGGCGTTTGCCTTGCATGCGGTCAACCAGGTTGGATTCCCAGCATCCCATATGGTCCCATGAGCATCGCCAGGGGTAATTCCTGAGTTCACGAACCAGGAGTAACCTCTGTGCATCACCGGATGTGACCCAAGAAGAAAAAAAAAATAACACCGAAGCCTTTGCTAGGAGCCGGTTCTGCAGGGGGCATTTCAAATGCAGAATCTGAAAATGTTTTGCTGTTCTGTGTGGGGGGTGGGGTGGGGGGAGGATGTTCTGTACAGGGCTTGCTCTATGCAGGCCTCAAAGGGCAGGGCAGGAGGTAAGATGTTTGTTCTTCATGCAGCCAAGCATGGCTCAATTCCTGACACTACTTATGGTCCCTTGGTGAGCCCTGAACACAGAATCAGGAGTAAGCCCTGAGCACAGTCATGTGTCCTCCCCCCAAACAAAAACAACAACAACAACAACAACAACTCCAGGAGCTGGAGAGATAGTACAGTGCTTGTCTTGCAAGTAGTCAACCAGGGTTCAATCCCCAGGATTCATTCCATATGGTGCCCCGAGCATCACCAAGAGAAATTCCTGAGTGCAGAGTCAGGAGAAACCGCTGGGCAAAGCCAGTTGTGGCTCAAAGAGAAAAACAAAGAAATAAAAAACAAAACACACACACACGCACACACACACACACACACACACAATAGGAGCTAGCTCAAAGAATAGTAGTCCTTGCTTTGCATGCAGTCTCAGCATTTCATGTTCCCCAGAGCACTACTGGGTGTGATCCATGATCACTGAGCCAGAAATAGCCAAGAGTAACAGAAATATGGATCAAAAGCAAAACTTAAAATCCACTTCGCAAATAGAATGCAAGCTATAACATGCTCAACGAAGAACAGTGTGGAATGGCAGTATTTGTAAAGAATTATAAAGTTGCAATTATCAATTTGCATTTTTTTAGCATATATTGGGAGTAAATATTCCAAAACTAGACAAAGGGTCAAAGGCATGCAGAGCTCCATGGACTGGAGTGCAGGCTTTGCACACAGGAGGCCGGGTTCGGTCACCAGTATCACAGGTTCTCCTAAGCACAGGCAGGAGTGCACCCTGAGTACAGAGCTTAGAATAGCTCCTGAGACCCCTGAGTATGATTCAAAAGCAAAACAAAAAAATAAAGAATTTAACTGATCAGAATTTATTGATGTGTGAGAACAGGCCGTGAGGGCCTCTGGGGTAGCTCAGTGGCTTTGGCCTCCTGCCTTGCAAGCTTAAGGCTGAGAGTTCAATTCCCAGTGCCACCACATATGCTGATCGAGTTCCATGATTCTACTGTGTGTGTCAGGCAGTTACGCTGTCTGTGATCCCCAGTGTTGTAGATGATTTCCAGCTGCATGGGAATCAGGTACATGCTAGCATTGCAACCACAAGAGGTGAAGGCCTTCAAGCACCAAAAGTCAAAAAGATGTCAAACCAGGATTAAGGGGTGACTGGCAAGAATACTACAATCAGAATGTGCATGAGCCCCACAACTCAAAGAGGGAGCGACCCCCAGCCCCCATGAGGACCCCAGGGGAGCATGCAAGCACTGCAACCTGAAGAATGCCCCCTACACGCATCACAAGGAAATGCACCAATGACGACAATGACCACTGGATGTGACCTCCTGGCATCACCCACAACAATCAACAACCACCACAGGGAAGGGAAGCGGGTAGGGGAGGAAAAGGAAAAACAAAACAAAACAAAACAAAACAACAGGATATGCCTTTCGAGTGAAACGGAAATACTGTAGGACAGTTACACTCATGCACACATACAAAAATTCTCATAAATACGTATCAGGAAAGAGTTCCTTTCAGGGTGCCACCCCCAACGTTGCAATCTAAGCGCTGCAGGGACTTTTTCACAGCCACACTCATTTCCCCGCAGCTCTACACCAACCGTTTCCTTGGGGTGGCAAAGTGAATGCAGCTCCTCCAGCCGCTCGCCAGCGTAGCCAAAGTCAGCCTGTCTCCAGAAGATATCCTGGGCCGACTCCAGGGTGTCCGTCCTACTCTCAAACAAAGAAATTCCACACAGCTGGTTTGTAATTTTTTTCCAAACCTGGAATCTTTTTCCAACAGTTAGTTTGTCATTACTTGTCAAGTAAACTTTGACTTCCCTGGAACTATTCCTCACTATGCAAAACTTACTAAAATACGTTACTTACAAACTTATATCACTGTAACACTTTATCACTGTCATTCTGATAATCGTCAAATTACTCGAGCAGGTGCCAGTAATGTCTCTATTCCTCCCAGCCCTGAGATTTTAGCATCCTCTTCTTACTCATCTTTTCCCAACAATTGGAGGCTCTTTCAGGGTCAGGGGAATGAGACCTATATAACTTATATATTGATTAAAAAATACAATAAAAATGAAATGAGGAACTGAAGACAATGAAGTATTTATTACTCTATATCCTTTTCCCACTATACTTGAATGTATTGAAATACTTTCATACCAAAGTATATTTTATATCAAATCCTACCTTCTAGAACTGTCAATCTATCTTCATAAGTATGCTGGGGGAAAATGTTTCTCCATGTGTCAAAGGAAATGAGAGAGGGGGAGATCAGTCAAGTTAAGCTCATGATTGAACAAGCAAATTATTATCTAAAGGAATTACTATCTGAAACAAAACATCTAGTTGGCCATTGAAGCATTGCATATAATGCAGAGCTAAAGATGACTTGGAACTTGGAACTATGCTTGGAATATCACGATTCACTCAAATGAAAGATAGAATCCGGAGTTCTGATCTTCGTCAACGCTCAAGAATCAGGGACGCTGTCTCATTTGCCAAGACATCAAAAATCAGATGGGCTGGACACGTAATGAAGTTTACAGACAACCGCTGGACTAGAGCCATTACTGATTGGATTCCACGAGACATCAAAAGATCACGTGGACGCCCACCTATAAGATGGTCAGACTTCTTCGTCAAGACCCTAAATGATCGGTTTGAGGCTCTACATGTTCCTAAAACGAACAGATACCATTGGGCTACGCTAGCACGCAACCGGGATGAATGGAGACGTTACTGGCACCCGCTCAAATAAATCGATGAATAACGGGGATTAAGTGATTAAGTGATTAAAGATGACTTAAAATTGAGAATTATGGCAACTGCAGACTTACCATCCCATGTCCACGTAGTTGCAAACAGGGTAACCAAATCTGAACTCTGGTTGGCAGGATTTTTCATAACCCCAGCAGTAGTTTAAATTCTCTAAGTGTTTCTAGAATGTAAGACACATGAATATTTAACTCATCTCTCTTCTAACATTGAAAAAGGACTCCAACATTTTTCTCATGAAAAAAATAAATCCTTGGGGGTACGGTGCCGCCAGCAGGTCAATCTGTACCTGTGAGGCGAGTGCATCAGCAGCCTGATGGCATCTTCAGACTTCCAGATACCCCAAAATTGCTGCTGTGCCTTTGGCCAGACCCCAAAAACTTAGGGCAAAGTTTACCAAGAAAGCAAACTGCCAAAAGTTAGTTATATGGGAGCCACACCCACAAACCACCTCCAGCTCAGCTATATAATTGGAGGCATGGCCTCTCTGGTTCCTGATTGGACTGCTTAATGGCCATGATCCCAGAGACTCAGAAACAAATCTCGAAACCCAGAGGCTTTTGGCAGAAATGCATCTGGTCCTTGCAGTAGGTTACTGGTGATGGGTCACCTCAGGTGGGAATAGGTTTCATGACTTGGCCTGTTCCCCCTGGCGGCCCAGTGGCCGCCATCCTCCAGAGACCACTGGACAGTCAGGTTTGGGCCCGCAGCGACAAGACATGTGGGGCCTCTAGGGATGGGGGTGGAGTCTGCCCTTTCCTCCCCATCCCAACAAGACCCTGAGTGGCTGCCCACAAAAGGTCTCTCTGGCTCCTGATCAAGCTGCTTAATGGCCATGATCCCACAGACGCAGGAACAAATCTTGGAACCCAGCAGGTTTTGGCAGAAATCCCTCCAGATTTAATTGTTAAAATTTCAGAATTTCAAAATCGCATGGCTAGTACTGTGGCCGCACAACATCTATGTTATTCATAACCAGCAATAGAAAACAAATTGTCTACTGTTGCCTTTTCGGCATGAAGGAACCAGCCGAGGAACCCAGATGTGTGGGACCCGGGGCGTAGATCTCCAAGCCTGCTCGGATTGGGACTGGAGCCTCCTCCACCCAGATCCCCCATCTTCCAGTATGTAGGCGTTACACCCACCAACTGTCCCCAGCGCCCTGTAATCCAAGGCAAATACCCTATCTGCTGTCTATCCCCCTGGTTCCTGAACTGGTATTCTATCAACAAAAACACAGGTGCTAAATTAAATGGATCATTTTTATTCATCAGTCAGTATTAGCAGATCCCCTGCAAGAAAGGGAGTTCTCTGAAGTCCTTAAGAGACACAGCAGCTAACTGTTGGCAAGGGAGTGAGAAGGCTATTTTCCAAGATCCAGGGAGCAATGCTGGTCTTTTCCCAGGTTTCTTCTCCATATGCTTCCTGTGCTGGCACCATGGGAAAGGAAGCATCTCACAATGCCCCGCTTTGATCTAAGAGCATTTGGGAGACATCTTAATGGGCTCCAATTTGAGGCCTTTCCAACAACTCTAAAACAGAAGGAATACCACAGTAACCTCTTAATTAGGAGGAGGCGGAGGCGGAGGTGTTGTTGCTGAAATTAGGTGCTAAGAACCGCTTTTAAGTGCAGTTTTAAAAATAAGAGGTGAGAAAGCCCTTGGTCAAATTGAACTAGATACTCTTCTCTGCATAGAATCTGCTTCGCTTCATTTACAGAGTGTTTTACTGGTGAAGTCTATTTACACCTCACATGGGAGTGATGATGGTGAAATTCAATCACTTGGAAGTTGTAGGTGAAATATGATGATTGATTTGACTGCCACCAAAGAGGGTATCTACCTTCAGGTTCAGGTTATATTTCGGAACTAGTCTGATAACCCAACCAGCATCCTTGCAAAAATAAATAAAAGGATAAAAAACAAGTTGGTCCGAAGGATGTGAGTTTTTGTTAAACTGTTTAACATTGTCTCCTGCTCACAACCAAACTTGACTAGCTGGGATTTTTTGAGAGAGAGAACACAGGGGATTGCCCTGCCACAGAGACAGGGGGGATGGGGGGATGGGGGTGGGAGGGATATTATCCATGGTGGTGGAAAATGGGCACTGGTGGAGGGATGGGTATCTGATCATTGTATAATTGAAACCAAAGCACAAAAAATTGTAAATCTACAACTTTAAAAAAAAAATACAATAAAGGGGAAAAAAAAATAAAGTACAATGAATGGAAAAAAAAAAACAATACCGACCTTATATGGACACTGTGCATCTTTCTTACAGACCGCGGCAATGTGCCCATTATTGTGCAAAAAGTAGGGGATGTGTTCTTCTGGCAAGTGGATGCTGGGGTAGTCAAAGAGCGGGGCATCTGCACTGCCCTTGGCAATGGGAGGATACTCATCTTGACCACTCAGTGGGACTTCATGAAGCAGGACTCCAAAAACAAACAGCATTAACATAGCAACTTCCGAACCTAGAGAAAAAAAATTAAACCCACCTCTGTTAAGATCTAACCTTTAAAAGGCAATGGGGATTAGGGGAAGGTGAGGGCATAGTACAGCAGGTAGGGAGCTTGTCTTGCCTGTGCCAACCCAGGTTCAATCCCCAGCATCCCATATAGTCTCCTGAGCACTGCTAGGGGTAATTCCTGAGCGCAGAGCCTGGAGGAACCCCTGAGCATTGCCAGGTGTGGCCCCCAAAAACAAAAATAATCAAAAGACAAAGGGGGTCACAGACTAAAGCACAAGTACCAAAAAAAAAAAACCTCAGCAATATCACTGCATGTTTTTTATTCAGCATTTATTACAAACCTATTATATGCCAGAAATTGTGTAAGGATCTAGACATACAGAGGTGAATAAAATTAAAAAGACCCTTTCTTTCTTTCTTTCTTTCTTTCTTTCTTTCTTTCTTTCTTTCTTTTTTCAGGAAAAGGGAGCCAAACCCAGCAGTGCTTACTCCCGGCTCTGCGCTCAGCAATCACTCCTGGCAGGCGCAGCGTGCCAGCAATCGAACCCAGATGGACTGCATACAAGGCAAGCAGGCTCCCTGCTATCCTATCACTCTGGCCCCAAAAGACCTGACTTTAATGGAGCTTATAACCCAATATAAGGAATGCAAAATAAACAAAGACATAAACAAACAACTCCAGATGTTGACAAGTGCGAGAATCAAATGAGTCAGAAGCAGGCAAATTTTAGAGAAACAGAGGTTAAGGTACTTGTCTTGCATGCGGCCAATCTGAATTCGATCCCTGGCACTGCACAGTTCCCCAAGCACTTGCATTAAACTTCCAGCCCAATTGGCCAAGAACTGCTGGGACTAACCCCTAACCCCTGATGGCCACTAGGTGGTCCCCCCAAAGTTCATCATCACGATTAGCCTAAGGGGACATAGCTCTTTTATGTTATAAGGATGCATCAGTGGACATGTCCTTGTGAAGCCTATACTCGTGTGTATAAAATAACAGTCTCTGAGGGCAGAAAGTTCAGCATAGGAGAAAATTGCCTTGTACATGGCCAATCTGAGTTCAATTTCTGGCATATTATACGGTCCCCCAAGCACAATCAGGAGTTATTTCTAAGTGCATCGCCAGAAGTAACCCATGAGTAGAACCAGGTATGACCTCCCACACCCTGCCCGCCCACCCCTGCCCCCCCAAAAAAGAAAATCAAAGAGCAATCTCTGATCTTAAGAGTTAAGACTTAGAAAACTCCAGAAGTGAAATCCAGGCAGTTTGTCCCACAATTTAGCATTAACTCCTTGCTGACATCGCTTAGCATGATGGAAAAACAGCCCATCACAACCTGATACTATTAACCCCATAAAGGACTTAAATCTCTTAGACAAGATTTCTCCTTTATAACTCAGAAAATAAGCATGTCATTCATGGTTTACTTAGTTCTATCTTAGCTTTAAAGTGGGGAGCGGGGTCGGAGTGACAGTACAGCAGATAGGACGTTTGCCTTGCACACAGCTGACCTGGGTTCAATTCCCAGCATCCCATATGGTCCCCCAAGGACCGGCAGGAGTAATTCTTGAGTGTAGAGCCAGGAGTAACCCCTGAGCATTGCTGGGTATGACCAAAAAAAAAAAAACAAAACAAAAAAAAGACTTGTTCCTTTAAAAAAAATTTTTTTAATGAAAAAAACAAGAAAAATAAAGTGAGGAGCAAAAAAGTTCCCTTCCCATCAGTTGATAGAACCATAATCCATATTAATTGCTCCCTGGCAAGGTTTAGCAATGGGGATGGTGGAAAATTCAGCTTTAAAACCAAGTCTTCATTAATAGTGGGAGAGGTGGATGGAGCCATTAGAAACAGACCAGTATGTTCACTCAAGCTGCAAACAGCGGGGACAGGAAGAAGAAAACCTTTGCCACCCTAGAGTGATGGTGGGGGGGGGGGTGCTAATTTTCCCTTTAGGTGCCTCAGGAGACTATGTTATTATCTACTGGTGAATGAACATTTTTTAGTTAGAACTTTTACCCAATGTTGAACAGGTGACAGTTTTACAAAAGATAAAAATACATATTAATAGTAACTGATTCTACATTTAAAAAAAAAAAGATTTACTTAAAACTCACCTCTTTAATCTTCAAAACCACCCAGAAGCTGTTGCAATGATTCAGGCATCTAAAACCTGTCACAAATGAAACACATCACCTTAAATAGAAGCTAAACTAGATTATTATCCAAGTGAACATTTTGAATTAAGGGGGAAACTGAGAAATAGTTCAATGAGATAACCCCTATGCAGAAGGCCTAGCTCATTGGGTTCTTCCTTTTCCTAAAGAAAACCTGCTACTAAGTGTCAAGTAAAGAAAGCACATTTAAAGTAATAACTTAAGATTCCAACAATGAACAGGAATAAGGATCCACGTTCTAGGCATCAACTGGTCCAGGCCAACAAACAGTATCAGAAAGGACAAGGGGAGGGGCTGAAGCAATAACACAACGTATAGGGCGTTTGCCTTGCACGCGGCCCACCCGGGTTTGAATCCCAGCCTCCCATATGGTCTCCTGAGCACTGCCAGGAGTAATTCCCGAGTGCAGAGCCAGGAGTAACCCCTGAGTATAGCGGCTGTGACCCCCCCCCCCCAAAAAAATGACAAGGGGAAAAAAATCCCTGCAGCAATTTGCCTATTTTCAAGGAAATATTCCTACTCACTAAGCCACACCTAAGACTTGTAGCTGCACGAGCTATCCTTTAACTCGTCGTTCACTTTTAAAAGTCATTGATTTTCTCCCTCCCTCCTTCCCTCCCCCCCGCCCCCCACATACAGTCACTGATAGGATCAAGTCCTGACCTTTCCAAGCCCATTGTCCTCAGCTGAGCTCTATAGCCCCAACTCAGCTCACTGATCCATGGCAATGCAGTTAACACTTGGGTCATGGGAAAAAGACCTCGATGAGAAACGTGGTTTTTGCAGCAGGCACGTACCCACTCGCCTAAGCTAACGGGAAGTGGCGCTGGCTGCGTGACAGCACAAGCCCGGTCCTGGCCAGGGGCCTTCCCTGGCGTCTCTCGCCCCGGCCAGGGCCTCCCGAGGATGGGCGGGAACGGAGGGAAGTTTTTGGTGGCTGCGATAACTTTCTCCTTGGGCGCAATGCAGCCGGCTCTGTCCACTTGTGGATCTTAGCTTTGGATTTCCACGGGCCTGGACCGGGGGAGAGGCCGATGGGAAGCGGCCGCGAGATGCTGAGAGGTGGACCTGGGGCTACAGGCAGGAGAAGGGCTCCAGCGGGTGCGACAGGGCGATGCTACCACGCAACTGGCGGCTGCAGCGCTCGGCGCAAGCCAGAGTCGGGGCCTCCCGCGCAGCGCGTCCCCCCGGCGACCCCAGTTTCACGGTGGGCGACCAGCGCCCGCCGCATTCTCGGGTCTCGACCGCGGGAAGTGGGGGGGGGGTTCCGGGGCGCAGAGGCACCCCACCCCCGGGCCGTGCCCTCTCGGGGATCAGCCAGGGTCCCCCGCCCGCCCCCTCCACAGCCCCAGACCGAAGCGCTGGGGAGGACCCCACGGGAGGACGCTCCGCCGGGGCGGAGAAGCCGGGGGCGCGGCGGCGTCTCGGCTGCGCCTGGCGGGCTCGGGGGAGCCCCAGCTCGGGGACGAGGGTCGCGATCGCCTGCCCCGCACCCGCTGGCTGGGGAGCGGCGGCCGGGCCCGAGGCGCGCGGGCGGTGCCGGTGCGGGGAGGCGGGCGCAGGGCAGGCTCCGCCGAGCGCCCCGCAAGGCCCACCTGCAGCCGGGCGATCCGGGGCTCCCGAGCCGGAGGACGACGACGAGGGGCGGGGAGGCGGCCGCTCCGGGCCGCCAGCGTCACAACCGGCTGCGGCCGCCCACCGGAAACCTCGGGCGCCGGGGCCGGCCAGGGGGCGCCGAGGAGCGGTCGGGACGCCTCGGCGGGCCGGCCCGGCCCGGGGGCGGGTCCCCGAGTGGGGCCCGGCGGGAAGCGCGCGGCCGGGGGCCCGGGGTGGGGAGCGCCCAGCTGCCGCCGGGTGGGCGCCCGGAGCCCGGATCTCAGCACGAAGAGCCCCGGGTTCCAAGCAGGGCGGCGGGAGCGGGCAGAGGGCGCGCACAGGCCCGCGCGCGCGGGGGCGAGACCCCGGGCTCCTCTCCCGGGCCGGCGAGGCGGGGCTTCCTTGCCTTCTTTCTCTCAAGCCGACGCCGTCTGAGCGCGGGTGCCGCGTTTGCGGTGCCGGGTTGCCACGCCGCACCCGCCTCCAAGCGTACCCCCAAACGTCCCGCGCACACGAAGTCCACGGGACCCCTGCTCGCGTTTCTGCCCCGTCCCCACGACGTTCCTTCAGTAGTCTGAAGCCAGTGATGGTTTTCCCTGCATCTTGCTCCTCCGTACGGTGCCTCCCTTACTCCAATCTGGAGACTGAAATTGCGCTTTGGGGGAGGGAGGCGAGGTTGAGGGCACATGCGACAGTGCTCAGGGCTGACTCCCGCCTCTGTGTTCAGGGGTCACTCCTGGAGGAAGAAGAGCGTGGGGGTACCGAGGGATGGCAATGCAGTCAACCCTGCGCTCGGCAAGCCAGACCATCTCTCTAGCACCAGGCATAGCATATTCTGAACGAAGGGGTTTCTTGTCTCCCTCCCTGAGGACCCAAGTGCTGTACCGAGGAGCTGAATTTTTTTTTTTTTTGAATCACACCCAGAGATGCAAGGGATTACTCCTGGCTCAAGCACTCAGGAATTACTCCTCGCGGTGCTCAGGGGACCATATGGGATGCTGGGAATCGAACCCGGGTCAGCCTCATGCAAGGCAAACATCCTAGCCTCTAGGCTATCGCTCCAGCCCCCCACGGGGTTGAATTTTGTCGTTGTTTTAGCACGACAGATTCTGGACTCTTAATCAGCACGTGCGCAGTCTAGAGGGTAGCAGAATGGGTCATTACAGATTCATCTGTACAGATTCAACTTGAACAGATTAAATGAAGACTGATCACAGAACAAGCATGATCAGGAATGTGGTCACTAGTAGAAATAATAACCATAAGGAAACACAAGTTCATTTTCAGGGACTTGCTTTCAAAAAAATTATTTGTTTACCTGTGTTGGAGTTGCTATAAATTCCAGTAGTAGTCCCTTTCACTGGGGATATCCTGCTTGGACTTTTTCCCCCAGATAATAGCAGTTTAAATACATGTTACTTGGCATGGGCCTTAAGCGCTGTATAGTATTAATTCAACTTAAAAAAAAATCAAATCACTGTGAGAGAGTTATAAAGTTGTTGGGTTCATGCAAAAAACTTCCTTTAAGAGTACTACTGCTCTATTTGTCCACTTTTTGCCTATCTCATGCCAGTAAGAACAGAATTTGACGTTTACCAGTGCTCAGGGACCAGAGACCATTCCCGACTGCCACGCAGTATCAGAATCCAGCCAGCACATGCTTCACCCCTTTGAATTATCTCCTCCCAAACAAGAGCAGCAGTTCTTCAAAGTGTTTTCTTAGTAGACTTGCTACCATCTTATTTTTTGTCACTGTATGAATGTATCTTTCCTGTTAGTTGATTCAATCTGAATCGCAGTCATTTAAAAAATGTTAACAAGCTAGTTTTCCACTGAGCGATGAACAATAGAGATATCATATGACCTATGAGAAAGGCTTCTAAATATAGGTCGATCCCTTTGTAAGGATATGCAAGCCAATCAAATTGGTGTGATGTGTTCATGATGCTATTTTAAATAGCTGCTTATTACGCTGTGCTTATTCAGATTCAGAAGAACCACTTTGATAGGATTTTTAAGGATGGTGTTCTAACCTGCTACAAGTTATCAACATTTACTTCCCCTCTCAAATCAGCTGTTATACTTTTGATTTCTTTCAAAATTGACATTACAATAAACTCAAATGTCTATTTCTAAGGGACTAATTGAATAAGTTATGGTATACCCACACAATGTAGAACTAAGAAGGCGAAAGTATTGAGAAATAGCAATACTGTAGGGACACTATCCCCCAACAAACATTGAGGACCCAGGGGGCCACTCACAGAGATATTCAGCCCTACTGTTTGGGCTTAACTCTGCCGCAATAAGCCAGCCATCCTCCAGGGTGCTTAAGTCACGCAATTCGGGAAACTTCTAGCATGCAAAGCTTGTACTCTACCACTTCCCACTATCTCCTGGTCCCCTGACTAGGGAAATTTTGGAGGGAAAGGGTGTATAAATGCCTTTCTTTTACCTAGGAAGGGGTAATACTTATGTACATGTATAAAGATATATCTACATACATGCGTGTCTTTTTTATAAATTGAAGAGCGTCAGTACCTACAGGGTGGGGGTATGATGTGGGTACAGAACTGTGATAAAGGACTGGAGCAATAGTACAGCAGGTAGGATGTTTGCCTTGTACGAGGCTAACCTGGATTTGATCCCCAGCATCCCATATGGTCCTCCAAGCACCACCAGGAGTAATTCCTGAGAGCAGAGCCAGGAGTAACCCTTGAGCACTGCCGAGTATGACCCAAAGTGGAAAAAAAATGATAAAAGTTTAAATTTAAGATCAAAGCAGTTTTACTTGCCAACTCAAGCCAAATAACAACAAATATAACTAGAAGTATTAGAGTAAGTCTACTCTATAGCACCTAAGTTTTTAACTCATCTGACAGTAAAAGGAGGAAGTGATGTGAACCTCTTATCCAAGTCCAGCAGACTGGATGCAGGTGGGCAACAGCTCCCAGCAGTTATCTCTTAGGAGGTAGGGAGGTTCACTTCCGAGCAAAAATCTTCAGTGGCTCCTATCAAAACTCAGAGACATCTTCAAGACCAGAGGTCTAGTTTGAAATTTCCTTTTCCCCACTGCCCAGGGCCAAAGATCTTTAGCACATAAACAAGGAACTGGCTTCCCGTGCTTAACAATGATTTCTAGTAAACAGGCAGGATGCAGAACTTCACCACTGACACCAATCTCGCCCAGGCATTTTTTTTTTCTCTTCATCACATCATTTGCTTCAGAGCCAAGATTTGGAACTGTGATATAGTACAGACTTTACTTTCCTCTCCACACAAATACCAGGATGTATATCTAACGTGGCTCTCATGAGAGTGGTTCTAATAAATCTTAAAAACATATCTGTAAGGGGCTGGAGCGATAGCACAGCAGGTAGGGCATTTGCCTTGCACGCCGCCAACTTGGCCGACATAGGTTTGATTCCCAGCACCCCAGATGGTCCCCTGAGCAACACCAGGAGCAATTCCTGAGTGCATGAGCCAGGAGTAACCCCTGAGCATCGCCAGGTGTGACCCCCAAAAAGCAAAAATAAAAATATATCTGTAATAGGCAGAGGTCTTTTGGCTTTGATTTCGAGGTTGGCTCATACAGTGGTTCTTGTGCTTTTCAATTTGAGGGGATGACTATGTTATTCTGTTTGGTGAAGGCATTCCATAGCACGTTGGCCCAAGTAAAAGTCACTGGATTCATCACCAGACATGTCAATAGTTTTAGTTTTCCAACCATTTTATCTTGTTATTAAAAAGCGATTTCAGGGCCTGAGTGATAGTACAGGAGGTGGGACACTTATCTTACACATAGCAGACCCAAGTTCCATCCCCAATATCCCATATGGTCCCCCAAACCAGCCAGGAGTAATTCCTGAGTGCAGAGCCAGGAGCAAGCCCTGAGCATTGCTGGATATGACCTCAAACCCATGTGTGTGTGTGTGTGTGTGTGTGTGTGTGTGTGTGTGTGTGTGTGTGTGTGATGTATTTCAAATTATTTTCAGAAAATATTTAGACCATTCTAAATACTTCAAAAAGATGATCAACTTTTCTCAGATTTATTCTTTGCTCATGAATGCCCTGCTATCTGTACTAAACTCAAATTGTGCCAGTGTAATTCAGTCAGTCTCACATTGAAACCTTCGTGCTACAATTTGGTGAAGCCAGCCAGGAGTGGAGTTCTATTACTGTGAGCCAGTCTCGGATCAGGACATTTTCTGGTTAATCAGCCAACAGGTCCCTTTCCCCTAGGGTTGCAGGTGGCTCAGTAAAGTGGGGAACAGGGATGTAGCCTACAAACACAGTGCACCTCTCAGACTGACCCCTGTCAGTCACTGGGGAAATGCTTGGGTTGGGTCAGTACTGGCTGAGTCAGCTATACGAGCCTACACAGCACAGATGCTGGCGTGTGCCAGCCCAAGGCAGTCAAGCTACACTTGAAGCCCTCTTGCTCTGCAAGGCACGGAAATGGGTTCCCAACTTGAAGAGCCCTGAACTCAGCTGGAGAGACAGAATGCTCTTTGCAGGAAAGTTGGTTACCCCCTGGCACAGATGTTCCAGGTCTGTTGCCGTTCTTCACTGAAAAGAATTTTAGGCACAGGTATGGTGAAGCTAGTAGTTTTTAATTGAAGGAAATGCAGAGATATGGAGAGAGGAAGAGGGAGATATGTTCAGAATAGAACACAGGCCTGAAAAAGCAAGCAAGCTGAAATTTTCTTAACACCTAATTTATATCTTAGAGGTATTTTCATCAGGATCACCCATTAATTATAATTTAAACAGTCTTGGGAATACTCAAGTTTTTATGTCCATGCTCTCACTTGTCTGATTACCACATAGCTACTTAATAACTTTAATCATAACTTCAATCACTTTAATAACTTAAGCATCTCCATCTCAATGGCCTCATGTCACCCCAGCAGGTGGGTTAACGTTCCTTCTATTTCCAATTTTCAGTTTTTTAAATAAATGGATAGAACTATTGATGGGACTCTGTGACCTTATCTTTTGTTTGGTTGATGTGGCCTGTTATAATGACTTGCATGTGAACCATCCTTGTATCTTTGGAATGATTCCCACTAGAT